AGGGGACTTTAAATACACAGCACTCTTCTTACATAAACCATACTGGCATGCGAGCAGTTCCCGTACAAAAATCACAGTTACTTAAACATTATTTTTTATTACGCTCACTCACCAAAATTTGAATGTTACACATCAATGTTCAGCTCGTCACACAAATCATGGAAATTCCATCATGTTCTAAACATAGTATAACCCTTAGTTATGAGGCCTCATATGGGGTACCGAAATTATCCATTATTTTGTATGAAGAGAAGTAGTTCCCGTACATAAAATCTAACACATTATAATTATACAATTTTATTATATCGGACCTATTTTTCATTTACAATTGTTGAACAGACCATTATCTAAGAGATAAATAGATGTAATTCAGGAAATAGAGCGTAGACTAAACGCGGGTATCAATTAACCGGTACCGTTACCCCAACGCATTCACATGCAATAGCATGCTTGTATGCATGCTATTTTACGCATCAAAGCCATAAAATTATTATATATAGTAATATTGGTCAACATTCTGATAACTAAACAAGTTTACATCACATTGCCTACTTATTTGTAAACAGGTGGTATTAGTGGAAAACCCTTTAACAAGCCCCACGTGTAAGTATTTTTGCGCATGTGCGCAAGGACGGAATCCCCCAGAGAAAACAAGGTCACGTTTTGACGACGCACAGGTGAAAGTGATTTAAAATGAGACTTTATATACGTACTGCCGAACTGACACTGAGATTTTGTCTCGTTTATGTATCTGCTTGATTTGAAATGAATTTTTGAAGAATGCAAGTAAAAATCAATCGTTTAAATGAAAAATACGGGTACTGCTTCTGTACGGGAACTGCTCGCATGCCAGTACAGCTGATAACAAAAATATTATTATAGCCTCTCTAGAGTGAAAAAAAAGAAAAAAGAAAGAGAAGAAAATATATTTTAAAAAAAAACACACAAGCATTTTAACATGTAAACAGAACTGTATGGAAAGAAAATAATGAAAACCATAATTATTTAAATCTTTAAAAACAATTAAAATACATACAGAAATGCATACACATATACAGTTGTAAATATTGAATATTTTTAATTGTCTTTATAATGAAAACTCTTACCATACCCTACTACTTATTGCAATAAAAAACCAAACACATTTAAATCATTTTTAACAATGTTTCATCTTTAAAGATACCTATAATGCTTTCTGTTTCAAGACGGAAATTCAAAATTCACGTCATCAATGCATTAATTACTTGATACTAGCTTTATTACTAACAATCATTTTGAGGATTGAACCAGTGATCCCTGGATTACTTTAATTCGATACTCTCTCCTCTTGAGCTAAACTGGCCAACATTTCAAGACCTATATCATTTGATTTTAGCACTTTATTCGGTGGGCTAAATATATTATAAGCTAAATTTAAAACATCATACATTGCAGTTTAAAAAACATACATGTCAGTCCGTTTGAAGGACACTTTAAGTAAGTTGTATATCATAATGGATTTGCTAATTAATTTATAATCTGACAGTGAAATATAAACTATATCATTCACTATATATTACTATAGAATGTCTTACAAGTTGTTTCAGAAAAAATATATATCATATGAAACTGCTAATTAACATATTATTTAAATCTAAGAGTGAAATATAAACTATATCATTCACTATATATTACCATAGACTGTCTTACAAATTATTCAAGTTATTTCAAAAGAAAAGGAGTAATGTGTAAAAAATTAAATATATATAATTTACCAGTGAGATATGAATTATATCCTTCACTGTGTACATTAGCAGTACATATATAAATATCAGAATTTTCATGAAGAAAATGTAAAGTAACAAAAAAAACCAGCCTGTTGGGTTTCACACTGGCATGAAAAATATCAAAAATCTTTTACAGTGACGTTAAGATTTTAAACATTCCTAATGCTGAATTATTTTGAAATATTTCTATTCATTATGTCCTTAAATTTGAAAGCATTGAATACGCACAATATTTAATATTAATATTAGAGTGCTATGAAATATTTTGCGTAGAATGAGTCAATATGATTTTCAGACTTTGCGAAAAGATTTAACGATCCAACGTGTATTGCAAACGTTGCTATTGCAAATGTTGCGTAGATAACATTTGACTAAATTTAACCTCGAAAGAAAAAATCATTATCTATTCGTACAGGTACTGGTTACTTATACTTAATCATGTCCCACTTTCTAATCTTAAAACAGGATCAACACGCCCACTCAACACACAAATTTAGCACCATCCATATTTCACTGAAAATCGGGGTTGTGCAATCTGATGCTACTATTTTGTGTAAAAACATGAAAATCAAAATTAAGTAGTGTTTTTTTTTTTTCATACTGATTTCGAGCATTTTTATTATTTTATCAAATACATTCAAACTTCTTAATTTCCCAAAATGAAATCCAACCTAGCAGTACTTGACTTCCATACAAAATACTCAATCACTAAAACTTCTAATTGCCAAAAGGCATCAGAGCTAAAGATTGTTCAGGTAATTGGCCTATGAGTATTTATTGAAAACCATAACAGGCCACCAAAAATTAAGGAAGCTTTTGAGACATGAAAATAAAGGTATATCTGGGACATAATGGGCCTTTAATTAACACCAGTTTACCTTGATTAACTAAGCCAATTTTATACGTTTTTCAGTTTTTTTTTTTTTACAAATGCCAAGTTGAAAGCCATTATATCACTCATACGTAATACTGTTATTTATATTAACATATGAAGAAAAAAAATTATTGCTCTCTGAATTACACTATCCAATAAGAAGCCTTACATTTAGATTTTATGCTTTTCATATTAATGGACATGTCCTGTTTAAAGCAGCACACCTCCAGATTCATGCTAAATTTTATGAAAATTTTGAAAATGTATTACAAAGAAAAATGTTGTTTTGTGAACAAAGAAGATAATTTTCACATTGCAAACAGCACTTACAACCCATGAAAATTACCAAATGAGGTCAAATATGAAAAAAAAATGCCCTTATTGTGTTAGTAATGCACTAATACAGTAGAAATATGGTGGAAAATACTACAAATTTGGCCACAAATCGCACAACATATTGGAAAGTATTACTTTCATCTTGAATCTTTTCATTTTCCTTAAAATCTCAGCTTTTTTCTCAGGTCTGATTTTCTTGAAATATTATGGTTCATCTGGAGGCGTGCAGCTTTAAACCCCTTAACCTTGCTGATTTTTATAAGGGATTTGCTAAGCCTTGATTTTAGAACAATCAAACAGTCTAGACAAAGTTTAAGGGGATTTTAAATTTTCAATACTAGTGTCACATTACCAAAACTGGCCTACGAACAGTATAGGGGCCTTGCCAGATCAAACCGAAGAGTGCACACTGGCCTGGGTCTACATGAACACTGGTGGTACAGCAAATCAGTTTTGGTTCAAGCAGGTAAAAGTGTGACATTATGCTCATTTTGTTACTTTAGTTTAGCAGATTAGCTGAATTGACTATATTTTCAAAATATTGACTATATCATAATGTTGCCTGACCAACAATTTATACAGAAAAATGTTTAGAACAAAATACTAATCTGCCTTAAATATAAAGACTGTCCCATACTTTTTATAAATTCAAAATTACAGGTAAAGTCTGATGAATATTTACAGACATTTCCTTGGGCCATGTGAGTTATCAATTGTTCAAGAGAAGTAAACTATAAAATTGGAAGGAATTATAGCAAATTGTAAACTCATTTTTACTTTCGATCATTCACTCATTATATGCCCTTAGATGGGCATAATGTCACTTTAAGGGTTAAATTCGACACTGTCCACTGTGGATATCAGAGAATTTAAATCAAGTATCAAAATAGAAAATCTTTGAAAAGAAGGGCAGGGCAGTATGTGATCAGACTGCAACATTGTTGTGGCCGGCTTGACACTATATCTTTTTTGTGCGTAGTAAACGGCAGACTAAATAAGAAAAATATTAGTCAACTGGCCTTTTAGTTAAGATTTTAACAGTTCACTCGAAATTTCTAAATGGTCAGAACATGATTTTATATTTATGAAAAGTTCATCAATATAGTTTAAATAGAACAGCATTAATATATGATTATAAAACACTCTGATTATCGGATCGATCCACAGTCAATTGGAAGCCAATGTAAGATAGATTTTCTAGTCAGTATTTGCTTATTTTATTATATTATGTCACACACTAAACCAATAACAAACATAAGCCAATATTGATGATGAAACTCAAAACTGAAATTTCAAATTTTTTTAAGTTTTGTTTTTGTATGACTTTTTTTTTCACCTAGAGTTTGTAAAATTAAATTGACACATTATAAGTTATTATAAAGTTATTATAACACTGATTTTTAACAATTAATCCATTTAAATCTTAAATTTGAATGAATATAAATAAATAAGGACAAAATTACAAAAAATAAATAAATAAATAAATGTAAATTAATTAAATTTAGATATAACATTATAGACTGCTATTCATGATTTCTTAGAATCTACGGGAATACATTTTGTTTTTGTACTATGCAATATTTTACCTGTATATATACACATGTGCATATATCAGGTATAGAAAAAGCCCACTAGTCTCTAAATACAAATTGTCTTGAAAAAGGCAAATGCTATATAAATGTATATATATTTTTCCTAGAGAAAGAGATTTACATAATATATTATATTAAAAAAACATTCATTCTAGTTCTCAGTCAGAAAGCTTTCATTGTATGTAAAAAATCATCATACAGTAAATGAGCCGTGTCACGACAAAACCAACATAGTGCGTTTGCTACCAGCATGGATCCAGACCAGCCTGCGCATCCGCACAGTCTGATCAGGATCCATGCTGTTCGCTATCAGTTTCTCTACTTGTAATAGAGTTTGTAAGTGAACAGCATGGAACTTGATCAGACTGCGCAGATGCGCAGGCTGGTCTGGATCCATGCTGTTCGCAAACCCATTATGTTAGTTTTGTCATGATGCAGCTCAAATGTCAAAAAAATTAAATATATATCAACTTTCTCTCAATTGTAAAATAGGTAATAATCTATCTGAAATTTTGATAAAATTATTTTACCATTTTCAAATAAAAATCATATCTTGGAATGTTTTTTTGGTTTTGTCCGTGTTGGTCTTTTTTTTTGCCGTAGTTCTCAACAGATCAAGTTTAGAATTTTTTCTATGAAAGGGACAAAAGTTTTTACCCTCTATAGTCGTAATAATACAAGAAAAAATAATCAATTTAGAAACATACACGATTATATACGGGTGTATTTATAAATAAATCAAATTACGTAGTTCCTCATATACATATATACCATAATTGTCTTGCAGTACATAAATCCAACAAAAAAACCCATACGACCTTCTAACCCATAACTTTGGATTCAGGTCATTTCACGTTCCTCTTCAAGTCCTTTTTCCAAGAAGTACTGTCAATACACCGTTAACATATCCAGCAGAAAATCTTGTATACAAAAACAAAAAAACTTGCGTATTTTGAATGGAAAAATTTCATTAAAAAACCGGTTCTAACATAATGGTGGGATAACCTCACGTTGCTCCGTGTATATCACCTTCTCCTGGTTCCGAAAACAGGGCTCGACAGTCAAGGACTGCGGTAAGATCTAGCACAATTTTACGAAGGGTAGGATGTTCCAGAATTTCCTCCGTTGGCAGTGGTGGGTGGGATACAGGATAAAAGCTAGGTCCCTGAAAAAATTAATTTAACATTTCCATAACAAATGTAAAGATGCTTGTCACTAAGCATATATTACCTCCCTTTATAGTCTTTTTTGAGAAAGGGGGGGCAGGGAATGGGGAGGGGGGTCATTCCCAATATATCTTAAGCTTAATATAATAAATGTCATCTTCTAGCAATCTGATATAAATGTTTTACAATACTTAGCTCAATAGGTAGAGCGTTGGACTGTGAATTGGGTGACCCGGTTCAATTACCGGACGGGGCAGGTCACTTTCGTTGTGATTGATCAAATTTTTCCTACTGTCATTGCACTGAACCTCGGCTCTAGTACGTACAGAAGTAACTAGTTCTGGTAAACTGCTTGATGCGATGGCTTAACTGTGCTCTGGAAAATTCATTGTGGCTTACTGCCGTGATACGGAGTGAAAACTATCAACACCATCAAAACCAAATAAGAAACAAAGTTGACTCCTCCTTCAAACATTTTATCGGCACTTTATCTTGCCCCCCTTCAAGGTGGGGGCAATGAAAACAACTTTTTCTAATCAAACTTAATCAAGGTTGACTAAATTTTTTACTTGTTTACCTTAAATCCTCGGTGAAGAATGAGAACAATATAGCAGAAGACAAATCTGAGCATTAGCAGACGTAGGAAATCGTCACCAATAAACTGCATATAGGCGTGATCTGAAATGCATTATGGGTAAACTGATAATATGATCAAACATCGGTCACATTTTCCCTTATTGATTTCATATACAAGTTTACATAGTATGGTGTTTTAACATAATTGTAACCATTGACCAATATACTGCATTTTTTATTTTTTTTATTTTAAGTCGTAGACGTACCTGCACTTTAAAGGCAATATTGAGACTTACCGGCAATACTGGTGGGGGAAGAGCTCAGGTGCTCCTCCATGCATCATTTTAAGCACCCGAGTAGAACCACCAACGGTCAGTAAGCTAGCTAAATAGCTTCCTTACATGATTAACTCCCAAGTCTGTAGTGAGATAGGTCAATCCCGAATTTAAGATACAAAAAAATGAAGCTGTAAGATTATTTTGCATCACAGTATTTACATTTTACCTTTAGGAAAAACAAAAAGTCCACTAATATAAGAACCCATGCATATATCCTTTGTGACAAAACCATCAAATTACATGTGCACAAAATTAAGTATTTTCACAGTAAGCTCTATGAACTTTTCTCATCTACAATATGTAACACATATAATCAGATACTTACCTAAGGATCTTGATCGTACAAAAAGTTTACTGGCCTCCGCCATGAATCTGTCCACGTAGTTTTGACATTTGTCCCACATCGTGATTGGGATATCTATAATACTACATACGTGACAGAACGCCATCAGCGGGCAATGCAGGAATAACGTGAACAAGTTGCCCTTCTGTCTCATATCTAAAATAAAACAATGTCATTGTTAACTAAATAAGATATAATGTCATTGTAATAAACTAACTCTTAGCCTGCTGGCAGCCATTACATTTACCCATGCAACTCCTGCAGACAAAAATCAGTCATCACAACAGTTTCATCTGAACATGGTCGGCACTTTTCGCTATTCAGTAAAAAAATAACTTTGAAATTAACCCTAAAAAATAAAGAATGCTCATGTCGAGATTGACAAGTTTATAGAAGTTATTAAGCAGGGATAGGAATTAACCTTTAAACTTATAATTAAGCTACAAAAAATGCATGGGTAGAATTTATTGCTACTTGCAAGGAAAGGATTAAAGAAACTCATTATAACTCAAAGATACATTATTGCCTACAAAATTTAATAAAAAGCCTTTACAGCAATACCAAAAACATTTTTCAAGACAACGTTTGGCATACTCAACTTACTCTTACTGACTTACTTTGTTTCAAGCAATAAACAATCAATCCAATATACATGTAATGAAATTCATATTTTGGTTCTGGGTTTTCTGTCGCATCAATACTGTGAAGGTCATATGGCAACTTGCAAGCTTCACTGGCGGGGAAAGATGTGTGGATTATAGATCATGTTGAACAAGCGAGACCAATTTCTGGAATACCTCACCAATCAAATTTCCAATACCAATTATCAGGTACAATATAAACTTGCGTGAATAATCGATCGCAGATCATCACGAACAAGATCTAAATTACATCTAACATCCATCCATCTTACACCAATACAACGGTCTTTAAGATCGCAAAATTCATGGAATTTTATGAACACTGGCAGCTGTGTATTAAGAAGCTGAGATAGACATACCCTGCATGGTGGTAGGCACCTGCTCTGGTGATAACAGACATACCACTGGCTGTCCAAATAGGTTGGGGAAGTGCTGTAATATATAAATATATGAATGATGTAAACAATGTACTTCTTTCCAGGACAGGTGTATTAAATTTATGAGGTTTCTGCAAGTAAAATATCATTGAATAAGCACTAGCTAGATTGACACTGTGTACACTAATATGAGAACTGCCAAAGTTAAACCATAACATAAACTTATCTAATAGCACTAGGTGGATTGTAAGCAAGTGATTACAATGGAAACTCTCTATGTACACTTGGTAAAAATTGTATATGAACAATGGTTGAAAATTTCAAATTACAGAATTTAATTTAGTATTTCTTGAGTCTGTGCTTGGTAAACTAGGGGTGTCACAGTTAGAGAAGCTGCTAACCGTTTAATGGCTACGTAATAACAATGTTAAATGTTTAAACAACCATACTAATAAAATCCCTAGATTTTCAACATTAACTTTGTTTCTTTATGCCTAGTGTTTGCATTTTGTTGTACTCAAAATGATTACCATACATATCCATATATTGAGTAACTTTTTTCTGCTAGAGTCGTACTGTATTTGACCAGATTGAAAAAAAATACATTGCTGAGTACAACTAAAATACAAACAATTGTCATATCATTTTAGCTAAAAAAAACCCGACCATACCCGTTTAAACGTGACACCCCTAAAGTAAATTGCATTTCAACGCTTTCCCAGGTATATAAGACATTCCTACTAATTGCTCATTGAGAAAGGCAAGAAAGTTTTTACCCGGAATGCTGTGGTCATGACTATAGGGAAAGAAGATAATTAATGTTATTACCTTAAATGCCGAAATATTGTAAAAAAGTTAAAGTAGAAAAAAAGTTACCTGGAATGCTGAGCTGTTGTCACTGTCAACAAGGATGAACAAAGGTTTTCTTGTGTATGGGTACAGGTCACCAGGATGTAAACTTTATGAAATTTAAAACAATGAATACATATCAGATTGTCTAAATATAATAGTACAGCATTTATCAATACTAAGATAAAGTATTTATTTTAAGAATACAAAATATTTCCCAATTGAGAAGTTAAATGTGATTACACCCCAATTCAATTTAAAACACCCCCACCCACTTCATTTATATTTGATTTCAGTTCTTAACAGTTTATATTTGGATTTTACAGAATTTATTTTAGGTTGATTGTGAAGACAGCTTAAAGACACACTCTCAAATCTGTTTCTGGAAACAACCAGTATTGAGCAATGAGTGCTACAAGTTTCTTGCTCAGGTGTTACAAACTTAGTTCAAAACCATCTCACCTGCTAGAGCTAAGAGATACGAAGACTCCAGATATTCAAACCCATTAAGATCACACAGGGATAAATGGGGGCTGCAATTCTGATGCCTAAACCGTTAAAGGCAACCCCTCAGCGACCAGGGAATTACGTCTTAAATACAGAAACAAGAGGGCCATGATGGCCCTGAAATTGCTCACCTGTATATAGACCCCTTGGCCAATGCCAATTTTAAACCAGGGACTTTTATTTGAACAAACTTGGTAGACAACCATTAGAAGATGTTTCATGGTAAATATCTAAACTATAACTCTTTGGTGTTTTTATAAAAAAATTTTTTAAAGTTTTTACTATATACATATTTGAAACAATCACCCCCCCCCTCCTGCCTCACCCCCGGGAGGGGCCAATTTTGACCCCAGGGCTTTTATTTAAACAAACTTGATAGACACTAACTAGAAAATATTTCATACTTAGTATCTAAACTCTAGCTCTTTTAGATTTTTAAAAGAGGATTGTTAAGTTTTTACTCTATACAAAATAATGAAAATCAATGACCCCCCGGGGCATGGCCAATTTTTACCCCAGAAATTATAATTGAACAAACTTGGTAGACATTCACTAGAAGATGTTTCATGCTAAATATCTAAGCCTTAGCTATTTGGGTTTTTTAAAAGAAGACTTTTTATGTTTTTACTATATACAAATAAGGAAAATCAATGACCCCTCGGGGCGGGGCCAATTTTGACCCCAGGGCATTGATTTGAACAAACTTGGTAGACACTGACTATATGATGTTTCATGGCAAATATTTCAGCTCTAGCTTTTAAGGTTTTCTAAAAGAAAATATTTTAAGTTTTTACTATATACAAATAAGGAAAATCAATGACCACCCCACCCCGGCCGGGCCAATTTTAACCCCAGGGCTTTTATTTGAACAAACTTGGTAGACATCTACTAGAACATGTTTCATGCTTAATATTTAAGCTTTAGCTATTTGGGGTTTTTAAAAGATTTTTTAAGTTTTTACTATATACAAATAAGGAAAATCAATGACTCCTAGGGGTGGGGCTAATTTTGACCCCAGGGCATTTATTTGAACAAACTTGGTAGACACCCACTAGAAGATGTTTCATGCTTAATATTTAAGCTCTAGCTATTTGGGGGTTTTAAAAGAAGATATTTTAAGTTTTTCTTTTGGTTGCCATGGCAACCACAGTTCTGCTTGGAATTAAATTCTTTGAACAACTTTTAAAGTTGACTTCCAAAGGAACATTCCTGTGAAGTTTGGATGAAATTGGCTAGGTAGTTTATGAGGAGATGTCATTTAAAGTAAAAGTTTACGGACAGACGCCGGATGAAAAGCGATCACAAATGCTCACCATGTCACTTTGTGACAGGTGAGCTAAACAAGAGGGCCATGATGGCCCTGAGGTCGCTCACCTGTATATAGGCCCCCCCCCCACCCCCGGGGCCAATTTTTACCCAAGGGCTTTTATTTGTTTATTTGAACAGACTTGGTAGACACCCATAAGAAGATGTTTCATGCTAAACATCTAAGTTCTAGCTCATTGGCTTTTTTAAAAGAAGATTTTTAAAGTTTTTACTATACACATATAGTTAAAAACAATGTCACCCCTGGGGCAGGGCCAGTTTTGACCCCAGGGCGTTTATTTTAACAAACTTTGTAGATATTTACTTAAAGATGTTTCATGCTTAATATCTAAACTCTAGCTATTTGGGTTTTTCCAAAAAAGATTTTTAAGTTTTTGCTATACACATATAAAGAAAATCAATGACCCCCCCCCCCAACCCCCCGGGCGGGGCCAGTTTTGACCCTAGGGCTTTTATTTGAACATACTTGGTAAACACCCATTAGAACATGTTTCATGCTAAATATCTCAGCTCTAGCTCTTTGAGTTCTTTAAAAGAAGATTTTTTAAGTTTTTTACTATATGCATATAGGGAAAATCAATGACCCCCTGGGCGGGGCCAATTTTGACCCCAGAGCTTTTATCTGAACAAACTTGGTAGACACTCATCAGAAGATGTTTCATGCTAAATATCTTAGCTCTAGCTCTTTGGGTTCTTTAAAAGAAGATTTTTTAAGTTTTTACTATATGCATATAGGGAAAATCTATGACCCCCTGGGGCAGGGTCAATTTTGACCCCAGGGCTTTTATTTGAACAAACTTGGTAGACATTCACTAGAAGATGTTTCATGCCAAATAACTAAGCTCTAGCTCTTATAGTTCTTTAAAAGAAGATTTTTTAAGTTTTTTACCATATGCACAAAGGGAAAATCAATGACCCCCGGGGCGAGGCCAATTTTGACCCCAGGGCTTTAATTTGAACAAACTTGGTAGACACTCACTAGAAGATGTTTCATGCTTAATATCTTAGCTCTAGCTCTTTGGGTTTTTTAAAAGAAAATTTTTTTAAGTTTTTATTATATGCATATAGGGAAAATCTATGACCCCCTGGGCGGGGTCAATTTTGACCCCAGGGCTTTTATTTGAACAAACTTGGTAGACATTCACTAGAAGATGTTTCATGCCAAATATCTAAGCTCTAGCTCTTATGGTTCTTTAAAAGAAGATTTTTTAAGTTTTTTACTATATGCATATAGGGAAAATCAATGACCCCCCGGGGCAGGGCCAATTTTGACCCCAGGGCTTTAATTTGAACAAACTTGGTAGACACTAACTAGAAGATGTTTCATGCTTAATATCTTAGCTCTAGCTCTTTGGGTTCTTTAAAAGAAGATTTTGTAAGTTTTTACTATATGCATATAGGGAAAATCAATGACCCCCTGGGGCGGGGCCAATTTTGACCCCAGGGCTTTTTATTTGAACAAACTTGGTAGACATTCATTAGAACATGTTTCAAGCTAAATATCTTAGCTCTAGCTCTTTGGGTTCTTTAAAAGAAGATTTTGTAAGTTTTTACTATATGCATATAGGGAAAATCAATGACCCCCTGGGGCGGGGCAAATTTTGACCCCAGGGCTTTTATTTGAACAAACTTGGTAGACTCTTACTAGAAGATGTTTCATGCCAAATATCTAAGCTCTAGCTCTTAGGGTTTTTTAAAAGAAGATATTTAAAGTTTTTTCTTTCGGTTGCCATGGCAACCAGAGTTCTGCATGGAATAAAATTCTTTGAACAATTTTTAAAGGTGACCACCAAAGGAACATTCCTGTGAAGTTTGGATGAAATTGGCCTAGTGGTTTATGAGGAGATGTCATTTAAAGTAAAAGTTTACGGACGACGGACGGACGACGGACGGACGCCGGACGACGGACGAAAAGCGATCACAAAAGCTCACCCTGTCACTTTGTGACAGGTGAGCTAAAAAAACCTAATTCCCTTGTGGCTCAGAAAAGTTGCCTTTAAGAGTTGAGGCATCAGAATCATTTTTGTTAACCTCTGGTGTAAAGTTTTAGTTACCGGATATAAATGTGGAGATTAAAGTGAACATACCAATGCATTTCCTTGAGTGTTCCTGGTCGTTTAGGCTTACCGGGTGTTGTAGTTGTGACCTCACCGTCACGTCTACTGTTTGTTACCACACCTCCAAGGTCATAGGCGGCTGAAAACCATTCAGGAATAAGACAATTATATAAAAATTCCCCTTTGCTTTCTTTTTAAATATATATAAAATTGTCTCCATTATAATGGTTAACGTTTACAATATTTCATGTAAAGCTGGTTTTTTCCACAGAAAATTTTCAACATCAAAAAGAGTATAAACAAGGAATATTCAATCTAGGATAAGGTATTTGGGTAAAAAAAGTTATCTTAATTTCATGAACTATGTTACTTTACACTGAATTCATTAATGCTTAAATTTTAAAGAATACTCTACTTTAAATGAATATTTATAACTATTTATTATAAAATGATATAACTCAAAAGTGAGACCCATTTTTTTTGCTCAAAATAGTTATGCAACATATTCTAACAACATGCAAAGTTTAAAGAAATTCTATTTAACAGTTTTAATTCTGCCTATAACTCTATATGAAAACTTTCGAAAATAACCCTTACAATGCAAAATCTCAAACTGGATTTGAATCAATGACCATTGAAAACAGACAAATCAAAATCTTACAAACTGTATTATTTATTATATTTATGAGCCTCTGAAGTCTAAACTGTACTTTATTATTGACCATAACAAAACATGATACATATTTCATAAAAACAAAAACATATAAACAAAGGACCGATTCAAAGCCAAGGCCATTAAGTTTAGGTTATAAACAGAGTTTTAAGAAAATCTTAAATTCTTAAAATCTGAATATAACTAGGGCTGGGAACGAATAAGGAATTTGATGTTCGAATATTTGTTTTCCATATTCGAATATATTCGAATATTCGTTTTTACAACATTTGTTCCAATATTTCTCTTTGACGTATACGCATCCGAAATTGATTGCGTCGAATACTATACTACTTTAAGAAGCTTGGAATAATCAACGATTAAAAATACCTATATTACTAGGTAAAAGTTTTTTATTTTATATATTGTTAATCAACATAAATGTTTACTTTTGAAATAAATTCATAATTTGATTGCCTTTTGTTCAGTTAATCCGACTGCTGATCATTTGTCTTATTAACGGGAGATAATTCACGTGACTTGATTGGCAGTAATATGAATCACCGTAGTCTCTTAGCCCCCAAAACACATAATTATATTGAAACTTAATTTGAATTAAATATATTTCTTATTTATTTATAATTTTAGATAAGGTTTAAAATATTCTTCAGATAAATTTAGCTATAATGCAGTAAATATCACTCGGAGTCTAGTTTCTACTGAATAAATATATTTTGACGGAATATAGACACTGACCATGCTTTCATAAAGCACCGATTAATATGTGTCGATTTCTTCGTCTTCACAAAATTTAAGACAATTACTGATTAATCTGAAAGATTTTTGCACAGAAAACAATAAATAAGATAATTAAAATCGGAAATAATAACATTATATTCCGTTAAACAGGTAAATTGCAAACTGTGAAACGGGTGCCCTTTTGATCAACTAGACCCCAGTTTTCACAGTTAATTGGTGATAATCGTTGACAAGCGTCATACAAACGTGTGAACACCTGGTCAAGTAAAGGTCAATGGTTTAATTTACGATCTTAATTGAAATTTGAAAGTAATAACAACAAAAAACACTCTTTTTTTTTCAAATATTCGTATTCGTTTTTCAATGTTCGAATATTCGGTAGTGTTTCTAATATTCGAATATTCATATATAATTCTCCGCCCAAAATATAACCTATAACCGACTTACACTTAATCCCGCCCATTCAAATCGAGTGCATTATGTAAATATGTGGAGTCCATTAAATTTGGCTCATTTAACATATGATACCTAGAGTTGAGTTACAGCACTGTACGGTAAATAAATCTGCAAAATTTAAACAAAATAGAGCTATTTTATTGGGGTACTTTAAATACATTCAAAAATCAATATGTTACCATCATCTGTATGTTTTGCATTTCCATGGCAACCATCTGCCGATATATACAACAGCATGGCCCCATTAGGAGGTAGTTCTTTAAATCCCGAGGCCAGGAATGTGTTAAGCTGACTGTACGTAGGTTTATACAGTAAGTATTTGTGGGGATTCTCCCTCTTGTTGGGCCTGTCACCATTCTCCTATAATAAATACAAACAAATCTGAAATGCTTGCCTACCTTTGATCTCCCATAATATTGGAAATGAACCTATCCATCTTTCAATTGGGAGAAAACCATTTTACTTTTCATGGGGAAATTTCAAAATATGTACTGACTGAATAGTGAACAGTGCAGACCACAATATGCTGTCATGGATGTGTTTTCATATCTTGGTCTGCACTGGTGGTATTCTGCTAGCAGATTTAGTATCCTCCACAGACAGAAGGTAATAATTTGGCTATTTCAACCACCTCTCCACTATCAAAATCATGACAGAGACATTGCTGTAATATCAGGACTCTATGGACTTGCTTAGCTTCCAGTTTTGGATGGAACTGTCCATTATCAAATTTAGGGATATCAAGATGAACATTTTAAAGTTGGTTAACTAATAGTATAGAGCCTGGTCAGGCTGGCCTGATACATATACTGATGGCAAAGGTAAATCACTTTTGTCTCTAGCAGGGTAAAGGTTAAATACCCCCGATGGCAAAAATTTGTTCTGAACTAGTTGAACGTGTCTGCCTGTAAGCCAATGGAAATCAGAGTCTATAAAGCCCACTCAGAACATCACATGGTTCAATCCAGATATTACAAGATCGCTTGGACAACACATGGTTCTTCGAAAATGCCAGGACAACACATGGTTCCTTGAGATCAACAATATCTCATGGTTCCTTGAGATCACTGAGGCAACACATGATTGCCAGGAAAACCCATGATTCTTTGACATTGCTAGGACAACACATGGTTCCTCGAGATCACAGGAAAAACACAAGGTTCCTTGAGATTGCTGAGACATCACATAGTTCCTTAAGATCACAGAGACCACACATGGTTCCTCTAGAGTGTCAATCTACACATGCACCCTAATTATAACCATGTCTCATCAAAACCAGGACAAAACAAATTAAGACCTCAAACACCATCAGGCTGTTTTTTTTTCTTCTTGTGGTTTTTTATTTGTTAAACAGATATCTTTTTAAGTACAGTATGGAAAGTGACTCTTTGATTTAATTGCACTACAGGTAGGAAGTCTTTTAAAAAATATGAAAATAAATTATTAACAGCAGGAACATGAAAGTTAATTAAACATCAAACTTTTGTGAGAGAACTTTCTGACTTTTTTGTCTCCTTTTAATTTATAAAGATATATCTTACATTAAGGGAGACTGGGACTGAACAGAATATACCAATCTTGTTATAAGTGGACTGGACTATATATCAAAATGTAATACAATGGTGATAATAATTATATAGGTCAACATACAAATGGTTGCCGTCCGGGTGCCGGAGATGCATCATATATCTGATTGGTTAATTCCTCTTGCGGTTCCCGTTCTAACGTCTGCAACATTCGGAACATGTCCAACGTCAACTCACTGAACTTAACCTGAAACATAATTAATATTATGTTCTGGTAATGTATGGATAAAAAAACATGGATTAAAAGCTCAACATTTCAGTAAATATATAAGTCCAAAACTTTTAAAACTTAAAAACTTTATAACTCTGAAACCCCGCTGTAATGCTCAAGTTGCGGTCCAAAGCCTAAAAACAGTGTTATCAGGCTGATTAGTGTTATACTGAGGTAAGTGTTATAACAGGGCTTGCTATAGTGGGGTGATATATTACTTTGAAAATATAATAGGGCCTGCTAAAATGCGGGGACAGAGTACTTTTAAGAAATTACAACAAACTTTTATCAGACAAAATGCAGAACACCAACACTACATAAATTTTTAATCAGAACAAATTCGTGAAATAACCCTACATTACCTGTTCATGTGTATTGCCAACTATAATGATTTCTTGCAATGTAAAATGTACATGTGACATTTTGTCTAGTGGTGGGGTATTTAATGGCGTCAATCTGTGAGATAAAACAATGGCAGTTGCATCCACGTCCACCACTGATATAAGGTTGTCAGCCTGAAAAAAGATAATATCAACCGTTTAACACAAATAATATAAGGTTATCAGCCTAAATATAGGTAACATAAAGCTTTGAACACCAAACATTTAAGGTTGTCAGCTTATTAATAGTGTCAATCTTTTATCATCTAAAATATAAGGCTGTCAGCCAAGTTACAGATTGACTCATCTTTGGCTGAGTGGTTAACACATCAGACTAGCGCCAAATGGTTAATGCAATGTAATCTAAGGATTGCTGGTTGATAGACTTAATCCCTGTTAAGGGCAAACTGTTGTTTCCTTGAGCAAGAAATTTCATGCTCATTGTTTAGAACTGGTTGGTTCAAGAGTATGTCTTTATAGCTTAAAGCTTCCTTCACAAGCAAAGTAATATAAATTCTGTATAAACTAATTACTGGTAATGCATTCATCAGAAAATTTCTGGTCATTGTAAGACAATTGACAGGTATATAATACATACAGGATATTAAATGAGTGTAGATGTAATACTTAATTTATTGAACCAGTTGAATAAAATCATATTATGCAACTCATTCAATAAATTTAGTATTGAATCTACACAAATATAATAATCTATTCATCACATATATCTAAAACAGTTCAAAAGAGTTAATTTTTCATTGATGCGTCTATAGTGTAATGCTAACATTAGCATGCTTAAATGCTTTGCCTGTATATAACTCAAAAGATGTCATGTCAAAGTGTTATAACACTAGCTAAGTATAATTCATTACACTCCTGTGCTGTTGTTTATATAACAAGAAGATATTATTCAATCATATAAGTTTACCTCTATAAATGCTTTTATTTCTCCAAGGACTAGATTCCACTCCATGTGATCTTCAGGTTCATATGTTCCTGTATAATCGTCTATCTGCTTCGACAACTCCTGTTACATAACAAAAATATCTGCTTTATGCTGAGGTATCTGTTATTTAGCATTCAAAAATAGCATTATTGCTGAAAAATATCTTATTGTCTCCTTGCCATATATCTTGGCAATATTTCATTAATATTAGCCCATAATTACATATCTTATATTCGTTTGCTGTAAAAAATGGCAATATTGCTTAGACAAGCAATATTTCATACAAGTTTGTTAACCATCAAAACTTAAACACCATTCATCATGGCAATATTTCATAAATATATGCCCACAGGTAGATATCATATTTTTGTTAACCATTAAAAATGGCAATATTTCTTAGATATCTATGTTTTAATACTATTTTTCATGGCAATATTTCATTCTTTGTGGCGAGAATTATAATAAGCTTTCAGTTTCATCCACTTTATCATGATATTGTATTAATTTTCTGTTGACAAATATCCATCCTCCAATTCCATTTGAGACATATTTCCCATTCCATATCTGACATCAAATATTAAAATGCTTTCCCATTCCATATGTGACATCAAATATTCAAATGCTTTGCCATTCCATATGTCACATATAGAACATATAAAATAACATATAAATTAAGACTGCAGTATTATTTACTTACTCGTACCAGGTCTCTGACCAGTTTCATTTTCTTCAACAGTAAACAAACAACAATAAATCTAGCGTAGAATCTCAATTTCTTCACCATTAAATCTGGTCTGAAATAATAATATCCATTTTAGAATTATCTTTTAGGGTCATTAAATAACTGGGTTCCATAAAGGGGCAGAGCATTTTTCATTCTTTCCCTCAATTTTTTTCTAAGCATCATGCATGACAAGATTGAACCATTTCTAATGGTTTGGTTATTGACATGAACAGTTTTGTAGAATTCTAAGTCATGCTGACACAGTAAGGAGTATAATTATATATGACGACCTTTCCAGCTCTACTGGTGGACAAAGACCTCATAAGCTTTACACTTTGTGCATAATTTCAGGCATAGTGCACACCTGAGCAGAACCTCTGACCTTCCGTAAGTTAGCTGATAGGCTTCCTCACATGAATGAATCCAAAATCTCAGATAGGATTTGAACCCAAAGCAGCCATGGACAAGATCGGATTCAAACCCACAGCTGCAGTCATGGGCAAGTGATTTGAAGTTGGCAACCATAACTACTTGGCCACAGCTGTCTTCATATCCATTTCTTATTTAAAAGAAAAATACTGTATCTTTATGCTTAAAAGGAGGCTGTCTTACTTACTTATTGAGAACATTTGTTTGTTTAATTTAGTGAGTGTGTTATATATGGCACTAAGAAGTCCCAGCAGTTTTTGATACTTTTAAGAGCACCATGCTGTGATGCAGAAACAAGTAATGTTTGTGAAATATATATGACCTCTCCATGGAAACCTGGTAGTTATGACCCTAAAACTAATAAGGTTCATTAATTTGTCATGACCAACTTTCACAATAAATCTAACAACTGTATGCAAAAACCATCTCTAGTTATAGGTTGGATAAACTTTCTGTTTTCAAGGCTAAAACCACCAAGCAATAAGCCTAACAAGAGCTGTCACAGGAGACAGCGAAGCTCGACTAATAAAATACTAGACGCAGTAAGGAGGATAAAACTATGAAAGAAAAATCAATAATGTATAATTATGTATTAAGTTATAGTAAAAAAATAATATTTGTTAACATAAATTCCAAGATCAAGGGGAATAATTCTAGAAATAGTCACGCTAGAGTTATGGACCTTGTCACACAACATTAGTGTAATGATAAGAAATATTTGAAGTTTGAAGTAGATACCTTAAAAAGTAAAGAAGTTATTATATTTCTTAAAGACAATCCTAAGTTCAAAGAGTTCAAAGAGTGATAAATGTGTAAATATTGCTTCAAGAGTTATGAACATTGTCACATAAAATGTAATTGATGATAAGGAATAAGCATTTGAAGTTTGAGGTAGATACCTTTAAAAATAAAAAAGTTATAATAAAAAATAACATTTTTCTAGTAAAAAAAAAAAAGTTTATGGGGAGATAATTCTTGCAATATTGGTGCTAGAGTTATGAACCTTGTCACATAAGATGTGGATGATGATAACGTACATATATTTGAAGTATGAAGTTGATCCCTTTATAAACAAGGGTGCCATAGTCACAAAATACGCCCGTTTACGAAAAAGCTTTAGATGGAGATGGGGGCATTATGGATAAGTGTTATCTAGCAAGCAAGTTTTTATTCTTGGCACTGTGTTGTTAAATGAACCTTAAAACAAATCAATAGGGAAGATATGCACAGAATGTGTGACCTTGACCTTGGTCGCAGGGACCTGAATTTTATGCACGGCACTCAGCCTCACAATGATGAACATTTGTGCCAAATTATATTGAAATCCCTCTATGCATGTAGAAGTTTTGCTCCAGACAAGTGTTTTTCTATGAGCTCTAACTGTGACCTTCACCTTTGACCTAGAGACTTGGTTTATGTGCAGGGCACTACGTCTCATGGTGGTGAACAATTCTATAAAAGTAACATTAAAATTCCTCCATGCATGTAGAAAATATGCTCCGGACAACATCTGGATATTTAATCATCTCCAGTGACCTTGACCTTGCAAATATTAACCTAAATTAAATGTGTAACACCTGTAGTCATGATAGTTACCATTTGTGCTACAATCCATCAATAAATGATGACTAAATGGTCCCTATAACCATCTTCAAATTTTTATCTGAACTTTGACCTCTATGTGTAACCTTGAATTTGGTCGCAGAGATCTGAATTTTGTATGCGACACTCAGCCTCACAATGGTGAACATTTGTGCCAAGTTATATTGAAAACCCCCTATGAATGTAGAAGTTTTGCTCCGGACAAGCGTTTTTCAATGAGCTCTCAGTGTGACCTTGACCTTTGACCTGGAGACCTGGATCATGCATGGAGCAATACATATCATGGTGGTGAGCATTTCCATAAAGTATTATAAAAATTCTTCCATACATGTAGGAGATATGCTCCAGACAAAATCTGGATATTTCACCATCTTTAGTGACCTTGACCTTGCATATATTGACCTAAAGTACATGTGTCACAGCCGTAGTCATTATAATGACCATTTGTGTTACAATCCCTCAATAAATGATGATTAAATCGTCCCTATACACATCTTCATATTTTTATCTTTTTTTAAACGGGCGTATAAAAAGTACATGTAATTTAATAACTAAAAAATTCTGATTTAAGATTTTATTCTAGGGAAATACATTTCATTACAATTCTTAATCTTTGAATGAGCTGAACTGATATTTACTTGAAAATTAAGATATAATTAAATTTCTATGAGAAAGTATTTACATTTGATAAGGTAATTACTGTATGATCTTTATGAACAAATACCAAGTCTACAGAACACCATAGTTATCACAGTTAAGTATCTTGACCAATGAATGAAACATGTGTAAATAAATGTTACATTCTTTACAACATACTCAAGTCCAAGAAAGAGGATTATTTCATGCCCTTTGATTAAATTCTATTTTTAGAAAATAGATCAAGGGGAGTAATTGTGTAAGTCATTTATGAACAAAGTAATAACTTTGTTGTCTCCCTTTGATTAAATTCTATTTACAAAATCTGGATATTTCATCATCTTTAGTGACCTTGACCTTGTATATATTGACCTAAATTATATGTATCACAGCCATAGTCTTGATAATGACCATTTGTGTTACAATCCCTCAATAAATGATGACTAAATGGTCCATATACACATCTTCATATTTTTATCTGAACTTTGACCCCTAAGTGTGACCTTGACCTTGGCCGCAAGGACCTGAATCTTGCACGCGACACTCCGCCTCTCAATGGTGAACATTTGTACCAAGTAATATTGAAATCCCTCTATACATGTGGAAGTTTTGCTCCGGACAAGCATTTTTCAATGAGCTCTAAGTGTGACCTTGACCTTTGACCTAGAGACCTGGTTCATGTGCGCGACACTGCTCCTCATAGTGGTGAACATTTATATGAAGTTTCATTAAAATCCCTCCATACATGTAGGAGATATGCTCCGGACAAAATTGGACGCCGCCCGCCGCCGCCCGCCAGGGGCGTTCCCATAATACGTCCCGTTTTTCAAACGGGCGTATAATAAATTAGTAACAGTAAAAAATAATATTTTTTATGGAAAATTCTAAGTTCAAGGGGAGATAAATCTGAAAATATTGGTGCTAGAGTTATGAACCTTGTCACATAAGATGGGGATGATGATAAGGTACATATATTTGAAGTATGAGGTAATCCCTTAAGAAATAAAGAAGAAACAGTAAGAAATAGTACTTTTTGAGGAAAATTCTAAGTTCAAGGGGAGATAAATCTGAAAATATTGGTGCTAGAGTTATGAACCTTGTCACATTAGATGGGGATGATGATAAGGTACATATATTTGAAGTATGAGGTTGATGTATCTTATGTGACAAGGTTCATAACTCTAGAACCAATATTTTCAGATTTATCTCCCCTTGAACTTAGAATTTTCCTTAAGGAACATATATATTTGAAGTTTGAAGTTGATACCTTAAGAAATGACAAAGTTATAGTGAAAAATATTTTACTGCACCAAAACTTTAATCTAAAATCTGGACGCGGACGCCGACGCCGGGGCGAGTAGGACAGCTCTCCATATACTTCGTATAGCAGACCTGGGGTAATCATTAATTGTAATCATTGATTTTTTACTTGATTACATGATTACACTGTAATCATCATGTAATTGATTACCTAGCCCAAAATTGATTAATGTAATTGTAATTAATCAATTACAGCTAAAATTCTGTCAGTAATCATGATTACAATTTGATTGACATTGATTACTTTCAGATTTAACAGGAAACTATTTTTATTCAAATGATGCCATTATTTTACATGATATAGTGTAACTTTTGTTTTACATTTATACAGTAAAAGCCCTTAATTAAGACCATCATCTGGGCTGGACCAACATGATCTTAATTGTGGGGTGGTCTTAACTGTGAACATTCTTATCATTGCTTACATACTTTATGACAATGGTCTGGTTTAGTCATTTTGTTTGAAAAAATAAACAACAGTATGTATCTTAAGCTACAAGTGCAATATAAAAGACACTATAAAAGTATGTTTTGATATCTGATGAGAGGAAAACATATAATGATATTTCTGAAAAAAAATTAACTTAAAATTCTCTTTGGTCAGATTTCAATATCAATTATTATATGATGTACATGAATCACCTATCAAATAAAAATTAATTCTTCACAAAAAATAAATTTGCTGGAAGCAACATTAAACCACTCTAAAATTTACCTTTTCACCTTATTTCATACAATAACCCAATAATAACAGTTTTTCACACCTTGTGAAATTAAGTGTCATGCAAAGCATTCAAGCAGATCATAACAACAAATTTAAGATCTAGATAGGTGTTGACTTTAATATCAGTGGTCTCAATAGTTGGGTCAAATTAAGAATAAAGCAAAGAATTTGGACTGAATTAGGTGGTCTTAAAAGTGGATAAGCAGTTGTTCTTAATTCTGGATCATGTAACCATTGACACAAAGAACCTTGTAAAAAATAGTCTTATTAAGGGGGTGGTCTTAATTCAGGGGTGGTCATTAGTAGGGATTCTACTTTACATTGAATGTAATCAATTATCAATCAATTACACTCTTAGAGTAATTGTAATTCAATTGATTACAGAGGTAAGTCTGAGTAATCAATAGTAATCAATTACAATAAAATCAGAAAGTAATTGTAATTAAATCAATTACTGATCAATGTAATCATCCCCAGGTCTGTCGTATAGTCGAGCTAAAAATGACACAAATTTACAACATGAAAGTCCTGTATTAAATGTAATGCATTCTACTTTGCAGTGCTGTTCAATGTACAGAAGGGCAACTGTTTCAAACAGTGCAGGCATTGAAAAGTATTTTATTAAGACACTCATCCTGTAGGACCAGTAGCTTCTGAATCCAACATGTAGTTAACATTTTTTTACATGTCATACACCGAGTTCTCTTAAATTCTACTCATAATACGAGCAGACGAGTGGAACTTTCAATCTCTGCAGTTTGATCAATTTGACTTATATCACACTTATATAACATTAAAGGGTTGACTACAAAACTGCTTTAACTTGTATAAGAAATAAAGAAGGACTTAGAACAGTTACGCAAGCATTCTCACCTTTCTTCCTTGTTTGCTTTTGAGTAGTAGGCTCTCATTCTTATTGCTGAGTAGAAGGAGAATGACTCATTTAAATAGTTCGTCTCACTTGTACGTAAACTGAAAATATAAACGTATCAAACATGTTACTCATTTAAATAGTTCGTCTCACTTGTACGTAAACTGAAAATATAAACCAATCAAATATTTAAGATACAAAATATAACAAAGTGTAAGACTTAGTGTAACAGTATCAAAGTTATGACATTATGCATTGTTAATATTGTTCAGATCCACAACTTTGTTGCTACGGACAGACTTAATTAACTGCCTTAGTCAATATTTCATGCTTCTCAACAGTACCATTGGGGTTATCCAATAACTTTCACCCAAACATTAATTTTATGATAAAATCATAACACTGTTGGGTTTTTTGTTTGTTTGTTTTTTGGTTTTTTTTGTTGTTGTTTCTTATTTTTATGTGTGTTTTTTTTTTGGTGGGGGGTAATTTAATCTGCTGTTGATTTTTCTCCATTCTGCTGTTGATTTATTTTCCATATCATTCATACAACAATATGTATAATGGGGATGGGTGATTATTAAGTAGCTGAATGTTTACATGTTTACACTATGCATCTATTTCTGACTTCAATGGCCTTGACCAATTGACCTCTCATACCTTATTATCTTAATGCCTCTACATGAGGAGACAAAACTTTCAACACCTTTTGTTAACTTATTTACTGCTACAATCAAATATTTTTTCTTCAACTATCTAAACCACAGTGACCTTGACTTCACTGACCTTAATTCTATTCAGCTAAAATAGTACCCTATAATCATTCACTAACAATTCTGTAACCAAACTCATTATCTTCTGTTTTATTAGCATTGCGAATATCTTTCCTTCTCCTACTGAAAGTAACTTTTCATCAAATTATTCTGACCAGTTAACCCCATGTGACCTTGACATTGATCAAAATGAAACAGGCATTATTTCAGGCACATTCAAGCAGCTGAGATTTGAACAAAAGACCTACTGCATAGACACTATCTGGCCATGACCAATCTCTCAAGTGTGAGGAGTGATTTGACATGAGAACAACAAATGATTTTTTTTGCTATTTTTTTCTGAAGAAAAAGATTGAAATCACTGAGTTGAATATTTCTGCAACCTCAACCTATGAATTCAAAATCTACTATTAAGCAGGAAATATTTATAAGTTGCAGGCTTATAATAGTGTCCTTGACCTTAAACTGACTCATTTCAAATAAATAGGGGTCATCTTCTTGCTATAAAGATCCTGCTTTATAAATGAGGGTTGTAGACAAAATGGTTCTTCAGAATTTTAAATGAGAGGATCATTTTTTTCATGTTGAAGGGCACTGTGACCTTGACCTTAAACTTAGTTTCAAATCAATAGGTGTCATTTGCTTAAGCCATGAAAAACCTGCCCTGTAAAAATGAGAGTTGAAGTCGAAAAAATGGTTCTTTAGAATTTTTAACAAGTGGACCATTTTTTCAATGTTAAATTTGACCATGGAACGACTAACTTCAAAATTACAGAGGCCATCCACCGGCCATGAAGAACCTTCCTTGTCAATGTAAGTAATTGAAGGTAAATGCTTAGGAAGCAAGAAAATAATAATGTTGCAACTATCACTAATTCCAGTCAATAAAACCGTCACTATTACAATACTCCTATAATTGACTATATAGTATAGCACTAGCAAGGGAATTATAACCCTGCATTAAGCAATCATTTTGTATAGTAACTGCTGTATCAAAGTTTCTCATTGTGACCAAACACATAACATAACACAATATTACATAACACAACATTACGTTTTATTGTAGTTAAGGCCTCCCGCCCACGATACACATAATATTATACAGTTTTATAGTAAATCATTATTAACAAAATAATTGATGCATCAACGGTAAATAATTCATAAACAAATACTATTCATGATCAATACTTAAGCGGTAATTATTTAAGAATAAGAGCAATTTATTATCAACATCAATAAATGCTGAATTTAAGAGTGTTTTGTTTTATTTTCTTTATAAAGCACAAAAATACAGTTTCATTAAGGTTTATGTATCTTGTTTTGTTGTTGTTGTTTTTTATTTATGTTGCATAAACAAAGTAGAGGTGTCATATGGGGACTTTCCAGCTAAAGCCTCAGGTGCAACATTCTGCAAGCTAGCTGGATAGCTTCCAAACATAAAAGAAGTCCCTGTCATGATTCAAACCTACAGCTGTGAGGGGCAAGTGGTTTGAAGTCAACCACTTTTACCACTCAGTCATTGACGCCCCTTAATATGTTAACAAGGAGTATGATTTGTCGAGATAATTAATGTAACAGTTCATTATATCATGAATACGTTCACTTAAAGAATTTTTTGGGGTTGGGTTTTACGTCGCACCATCACTAAAATAAAGTTTATCTATAGATATATAAGTAAAATCGGCAATATTTATATAACTAACTTATTATTTTGTCTTTAGAAACCTAAAGAACCAACTGCATTCCTGAAATTTCAGATTAAGTGGTTCTAGTTGGCTGACAATTTGGTATTCTTGAAATGATTCCAATTGTCAGATATATATTTTCAATCATAATTTAATTTTACCTTAAGACTTTCATTTTTAGTTGGTGTAAAATAAATAAATTTGTTACTTATTATACAAAGATTTCAAGCTCTGTGTATGGTTACATCTAAAGACATGTGGTAGAACTACTTTCAATCCCCATAAACTCCGAGATTATCAAGAATAATAGTTGATGGGTTCCCATTGGATTTTTAACAGTGTCCCTAAAAACTTTATTCAAGAGCACCAAAAAATGATGTTGAACGAGTTAAATGTAACCCAAGGCCTAATTAAGAAGCGCGTGCAAATTTGAATCCTGGGTATTAAACTGTTTTCAAGTCTCCCTTGTCAATATAACAGTTACTGTAAAATATTAATCACTCAATCTTAATGAAATACATTTTTACAACACAAAATAATTAATCATAAAGAGTGTGATATAAACATATGTCAAGGGATGGGTAATCGATTAAGTAATCTGTTAATTTTATTGATCTATTACAGGGATAAATGTAACTGATTAATAATTCTTGTTAAAACTGAAATATAACATACATTTTTTATATACATTAGTCGTTAACATCTCATACAAATTTTACTGGGAAGCCAGTATCCAAATGTACTTAGCACAGAAGAAAGGGCATTCTGACCTGGTTAACATCATGGGGATATTCATTTGACTTTTTTTAAGACCCTAAAAGCAACCTTTTACAACCCATAAGCTATTTTTTACCCAATAAAATTTCTATATCATAAGAAATGAGTCAGGAATATTGAATCATCCCCTTTTTGTCACTTGAAAGGGGGGTTTTTCCCAATTTTTAGGGGCAATTTCCCAAATTTTTTATTTCTCCCCTAAATTTCCGATAAAAGACTCACCCTGGGACATAAAATATTTAAACGCATTTTTGCATCTTTTTACTAATGTTTCATAAATGAGGGGTTTGAAAAACCCCGGGACTTTACTTTCAATCATTTGAAAAAAGGCAAAATGCTAAACCAAAACCTTTCCAGTCATTTTGTCAGAGTTTTAAATATCAAAGAACCCCTCTGATCTTGACCTAAATGCCTTATTTTTCAGAAATTGCCTTCCTAGTAGGTTTCAAAAGAAGTCTATCCCAATGACTGAATTTTCCAAAATGTCATTTTTTGTATGTTTCCTAGTTAGTATTATGCCTTTGTATTCAGTCATATTAAAACAAAATAACCCTTAATACTTCCCTCCCCTCTCAATCCCCAAACCCCCCAACCCACCACCTACTTTCCTCATCCCTATATTTATTCTAAATGTAGTACATTGTACAGTAACTGTAAATACAAAACTAATAACCCTAAACCAGCCTATTCTATTACTAGCAGTATCTGTTAAACAAGAGAAAATTTACCTTATTTTCTATGCAATAATTAGCTGTAATGACCTAGCTATTATTTCAACATCAATAAACAGTCAACAGCCTTTTTCATAATTGATAAGTTCATACATTGATTCATGTGAGATAGGTTGTTTATTTGTGATGTATACTTTATTGACAAATAACTAAAAACACAGTGTGATGTTGAAGAATTTTCAGAGTATGACCTATGGACCCTTACAGCTGGATTTGTTTATTTTTGGTTTAATTGTGACACATATTATATAAGTTATATGTCATACTTATAATAGTTATATGTCATATCTATACAAGTTATATGTCACACTTATTTTAGTTATTATCATATTTATGTAAGTTAACTTATATGTCATACTTATTTTAGTTATAAGTCACATATAAGTTATATGTCATACTTATATAAATTATATGTCATACTCATATATTTTATATGTCATACCTTAGAATGGAGACATTTCAGCCAGCTTACTCAGGTGCCCCTTCATTCATTATTTAAGAACAAAAACTCATTAACCTTCCATTAGGTAACTAGATATTTTTCACAACAAAGAATCTAAAAGTCCTTAACTAGATGTGAACCTAGCTAGTAATGTCTCACTGGCCAATGGTCTGTTGTTGAAATCTGGGCCTGAGAGTCATTACCTTGATGTAAACCTTATGACATAATAGCCTAATATCAGGGGGGGGGGGTCTTGACAAATGATGCATAGCCCCCCCGCCCCCTCCACCCACCAACAATACAGCTTGGTAGTGGTACATGTACCAGACACCAAGTACATCAGACCAGATGCCATTTACTCAGTTGGTTTTGTTTTGTTTGTTTTGGGTTTTACGTCACATGGACACAGTATACCTGAGTAGAACCACTGACGTTCCGTAAGCCAGCTGGATAGCTTCCTCACATTAAAAAGAATCCAAAGTCCCTGTCGGGATTCGAACCCACAGAGGTTAGGGGCAAGTGGTTTGAAGTCAACGACCTTAACCACCCAGTTGGTACCAGACCAGTGAAGTATATCAGCTTGGTATCAGAACAGCTATATTTTCTTGGTGCTTTTTTTCCTTTCAAGAATATTGGATAAAATTATAAATGTATAAAAAAAAGTTAAGCAGACAACATTCAACAAACACCATTTTTTTCCCAGCATGCAAAGAGTAATTAACTTTACAGTTTTCTGAAGGAAAATGATTTATGGATATATTATAACATCATTTATGATTACCATTCAACTCCTAACTGTCTACAGTTGACCTCTGACCTCTAGATATAGTTTTACATCATCCGGGAGAATTCTTTCCAATTTACTGGACATGTAATAAAACAAGTAGTAACTCCCCAGTGGCCATGCACTGTATCTAGTGTTCTAGCAATGTTCATTAAGGCAGACAATTACTGTGTGTGGGGGAGATGAAAGACAGGAGAATTTAAGATACTGTGATCATTATGTAAGCTGTTATAAAATTATATATCATCTACAGACAAAAGATGATCTCTTCTTTCTTATAATGTAGAAATTTTCCATTGTAGTTCAAACTTATACATGTAACATAATTTAAGGCCAGGATTTCCCCAGCCCCCTTTTATAGCAAGGTTTGTTCTTTAAAGCCTCTTAAAAATTCCTTTTTTTTTAAATCATGTATTTTTTTCCTTAAATCTTGTTTCCATAAAAAAGTTCTTTCTTTCCCTTTTGCAAAAATTCAAATTTATTTTTTCATCAAAATTCAAAGGAAGAGCCCCTTCCCTAACCTGAGAAAAAAGCCCTTAGGGTTCTCACTCTGCGATTTGCCATTTTAAAAATTAGCTCAAATTTTACTTATTTGAATTTTAGCTAAAGGATTTCTTGCCAATGATGTGCAATTTAGATCAAGTTTAGATCAAACAGTGGCATAAATCTGGCTAAGAGAAATTTTCAACCATGGTAAACCCTGTAATTTACCTTTCCCTACCTATATAAACAAGACGTTTTTATACTTATTTTATACATACCAGCTCTACTTGCAAACAAGATTGGTATGGCAGTTCAGTGTTGCATCTAGAATTTCAAAATTATGGGGAATAGTCCCCTGATCAACTGAAAAATGTGGGGGATTTGAAAACAATGTGGGGGACATACATTTACCTCACAATATGACGTACCGAAAAGAATTAATTTATTTTACCTTCAAGCATTTTTTACAGCTAGCGTCGGCTCAACAACGGAAATTGGAAAATAAAATATTGACGAATACTACAATACACACGCGAGATAACCAAGTCGGCTGCTACACGCAATTTAGTACGTATTTTAGTCATTACCACGAGTGAAAACAAACATGGCTGAAGCGTTCAAGATACGATGAAGATAAATTGAATAAGGTTGAAAAGATCATCAAATGCGCGACTTGGCGCGCATTTGATATAATTAAAATGCGCGATCTGCATAAAAAATGCGTAAAACGCGCAATCGTGTGGCCTAGATGCAACACTGTGCAGTTATTGGTATTTAAAATTATTTATTTGATTCGTTACCTATAAAAATTTATTCTTTTTAAAATATATTTCATATGGGCAAAGAATTTATTTCATGTTAACATTGTTGATCTCTCTACTATAGGATACAAAGAGCAAAAAAAAAATTCCATCTTCTCTTCAAAGGTCTAATTACTTACTATATAATATAAATAATAATGAGCCGCATCACGACAAAACCAACATAATGGGTTTGCGACCAGCATAGATCCAGACCAGCCTGCGCATCTGGGCAGTCTTATCAGGATCCTAGCTTTTCGCTATCAGTTTCTCTACTTGTTATAGGGTTTGTAAGCGAACAGCATGGAACAGCAGGCCGTCACACCATTGAAATTGGGAAAAAGAAAATGTCAAAATTGGGAAAAAGAAAATGCCAAAATTGGGGAAAAGAAAATGTCAAAATTGGGAAAAAGAAAATGTCAAAATTGGGAATTTTAGACGTAACAAATAATAACTATATTGAACATACATGTATAATGAACAATAGAAAATCTATCATTGATAGCCTTTGTATTGATATGTTCTAGTAGTATTAGTAATTTGATAATATTAAAGGGCTCCCTTTTTGATAAAAAAAATACTTTAACAAAGAAAATCAACAACAAAATAAATGCAGACTGAGGAATTTTGGAAGAACCTGAAGTTTTGGCACTGGGAATGAGTCTGTTTACTGGTACATGTAGTTTATATATATGTACAGTGTATAAAGATACAAGAGCTGTCTGTAAGACATAATGCTCAACTATTCTCAGTGCTTGACAGTAAGAAAAGGGGCATAACTCTGTAAAGAAGTACCTCAAAGGTACTGCACCTGTGTCCAACATATTATATTAATTGAGTGTAGTTTCAAGTCATGATGTGAAGTTTCAACCCATTACCTTGAGTAGTTTTGGAGATACTAACCTGCATGCAAAAGTTAACAGAAGTGTGACAGGACAGAGACTATGACAGCAACATGAGTACAATAGGTCTAAACCAAAAACAGCCTGGGTGTCCTTTCATACACTTACAGGAGTAGAGCATTCAAAGTTTCATAATGCTCTCTTGGAGGATTTATACCCATGTGGCAACATCACTTAAGCTGGCCAGAAAGCTATTTCTCTGTGTGGATTTTTACCCATGTGTCCACAACATTTAAGGGTACAAATTTAAGTCTTTTGAAATAAGCTGTTTGTTTTTCTGACTTTCATGCTGATTTTAACACATTTTGGTCATATCTCAGCTTTCCTGGTTAACTTACCAGTAATTACCAATTTTACATGGGTAAATCATGATTTGCTCTTCCTATTTTTATGCGTACATCATGGAATGAAAACGATTTATTTAATAGAATTTAAAACAAGAGGGCCATGATGGCCCTGAGGTCGCTCACCTGTATATAGGCCCCCAACCCCCCCCCCCCCAATGTTGCAGGGCCAATTTAACCCAAGGGCTTTTATTTGCACAAACTTGGTAGACACCCATAAGAAGATGTTTCATGCTAAACATCTAAGCTCTAGCTCATTGGCCTTTTTTAAAGAAGATTTTTTTTAAAGTTTTTACTATACACATATAGTTAAAAACAATGACACCCCTGGGGCCGGGCCAGTTTTGACCCCAGGGCTTTTATTTGAAACTTTGTAGACACTTACTAGAAGATGTTTCCTGCTTAATATCTAAACTCTAGCTATTTTGGTTTTTTCAAAGAAGATTTTAAGTTTTTGCTATACACATATAAAGAAAATCAATGACCCCCGGGGCGGGGCCAATTTTGACCCCAGGTCTTTTATTTGAACAAACTTTGTAGACACTCACTAAAAGATGTTTCATGCTTAATATCTTAACTCTAGCTATTTGGGTTTTTTCAAAGAAGATTTTTTAAGTTTTTGCTATACACATATAAGGAAAATCAATGACCCCCGGGGCGGTGCCAATTTTGACCCCAGGGCTTTTATTTGAACAAACTTGGTAGACACCTATTAGAACATGTTTGATGCTAAATATCTTAGCCATAGCTCTTTGAGTTCTTTAAAAGAAGATTTTTTAAGTTTTTACTATATGCATATAGGGAAAATCAATGACCCCCCGGGGCGGGGCCAATTTTGACCCCAGGGCTTTTATTTGAACAAACTTGGTAGACACTTATTAGAACATGTTTCATGCTAAATATCTTAGCTCTAACTCTTTTGGTTCTTTAAAAGAAGATTTTTTAAGTTTTTACTATATGCATATAGGGAAAATCAATGACCCCCTGGGGCGGTGCCAATTTTGACCCAAGGGCTTTTATTTGAACAAACTTGGTAGACACCTATTAGAACATGTTTGATGCTCAATATCTTAGCCATAGCTCTTTGAGTTCTTTAAAAGAAGATTTTTTAAGTTTTTACTATATGCATATAGGGAAAATCAATGACCCCACGGGGCGGGGCCAATTTTGACCCCAGGGCTTTTATTTGAACAAACTTTGTAGACACTCACTAGAAGATGTTTCATGCCAAATATCTAAGCTCTAGCTCTTATGCTTTTTTAAAAGAAGATATTTAAAGTTTTTTTCTTTCGGTTGCCATGGAGTTCTGCATGGAATTAAATTCTTTGAACAATTTTTAAAGGTGACCACCAAAGGAACATTCCTGTGAAGTTTGGATGAAATTGGCTTAGTGGTTTATGAGGAGATGTCATTTAAAGAAAAAGTTTACGGACGACGGACGCCGGACGGACGCCGGACGAAAAGCGATCACAAAAACTCACCCTGTCACTTTGTGACAGGTGAGCTAAAATACTTACTAGTAATGGTAATAAAGCTGCCCAATTTTAGAGGCTACTTCACCTATCTGCCATCGTTTTAATCCATACTTTACGTCTAAAACTTGCCTGTTAAAAACAAACAAGAAAACAGTGTCAATGCATCTTTTATTTCCAAGCATACAATATATGCATGCTGCTTTTTCAACTCAGTCATGCACTAAATATGTAAATGAGCATCAATTACATGTACACATGTGTAACTTTTGTTAAATTAATATAAGGTTTAGTATTAGGTTTTTCTGTTGTATATATGCCTGTTTTATGTATGTGGAGCAAACATATTCTACTTCTACTATCATTAAAACTAGTATATCTTAAATAGCATTTTTTACATATATTTTTTCATAGTTTTTTTATCATTTGATAACCTTAACAAAAGTAGTAACAGGTTTTCGAATTCAGGATAACAATTAGTTAAAATGCACACATGCATGCATGCTTTCTTTAATCATTTATAATTTAAGTTAAATAATACCCCAAGTTATTTAATATCCCACTATGGGGTGATACAGTGTATGTCCTGTTAAGCTTTATTGTTTGCTTTTTAATAACAAGCTTTTTAATTCCCAATTCAGGGAAAACAATAAACTTTTTCCCAATTTCACCAGTATAAAACTATAACATTGACTATTCTTTCCGAAAAATGGCCAAAAAAGTCAATAAATTTAATGATCATACAATAATAAAACATAGTAACCTGTGTTGCTGCTGAAACTTCCACAATTTTGTGTAAACATCAAATGTTCTGCCAAAGTAGGACTGCCATTGTTTATGACCATACTGAGGTAAATCTCTGAAAACACAAAACAACAACATATTCATCATCTGTAGACCATTTACTGGCGAAAACACACTTATTTTTGGGACCCTTCATCTTGTTTTTGTTGTGTCAAGCATGATTACACTAGAAATTATTCATGTTGTGAGAACCGCTTATCCGTACCTAAAACCCGTATTTACCCTCATCTTAATCCTGTTTAACTAGCATTCACATTTGTAGTTGGTGGGGTGCATGTACATTTTTTATCTTTTTCACTTGAACTGAGGTGGTATCATCATAAAGCTACCATTATAAAACCATATAATTTTTTATATATAATATATTGTACAAATATTTCAACAGTTGTTTGATTTACTTTAAGCTTATGTAATTTTTAATTATGATACAAACTTATTGATCAACCTCTTACATGTATGATTAATCAATACAAATAAACTATCAGTTTGTATTCACTAATTCAGAAGTTGTAAAGAGGTCGGGGTCTTTTTGATTTGTGAATGACAAAGCATGATTTTTTCTTGAAATTGTGAAGCTGCAGCTTTATGTTCTGTAAAATTGTGAAAGAAGAAACTTGTAGGAATATTGATACAATTTGCGACCAATAATTTCTTTATTTGATAGAAAAAAACCATTTACTTCAGATATTTTCACATGATAATTAAAAGCATTTCACAGAATCCTAGCAGGGCTCTAGCAACTGGGCGATTTGGGCGACTAAGTCGCCTAAAGTTTCATAACTTCGCCGAGTTTAAACATCAAAGCGAAAACGACTTCGCCGCGCTTTTTTACTGACCACATGTACATATAAATATCATACAGCGCATGTTAATTAAGTTAATCCTCGCCTCCAGGCATAAATCAAACTGAATCAGTGATGCACAGTTACAAACTCCTCGCAGCGGTTACTTCCCCTGATCTGTACAGTAACCACTGCCACCACAAGGAAATTCGGTCGAATATAGCCGGATATATTTTTTTCACTTTTAATTTTAAAATAGAATACTTTATATCATTTTAGTTTTCTTTCGTTAAATAGTTATGCTTAATGTACAAGAAAGTAAAAAAATATACGTATAAAAATTATTTTGTAAACATAACGAAAGATATTTTCACTGTGACACCGTATGCATATACCCAATGGCAGAATATAAACAGTTATTGAACGATTGCACAAAAAGATTTGATCCGGCACTTGTTTTAAAGTGATAACAAATTGTGTGTCTTGAACTTATTTTGTCTGGTAAGGATGTAATTATAAATCTGCCAGTTTGATATGGGATCCTTGGCGTTCTGAAACTGGCCGCCATGTTTTTGTCACATGATACAACTATCATCACGTGATTTCAGTGGTGGCAGTGGTTAAAGTAGCAAAGCGTGACGTAACCGCTGTGAGGAGTTTGGCACAGTTACTGCCGATAATTGACATCAATTAACACATTTTCAAAGTGACATGATATGCAGATGCATCGGACATTATAGCCATTTAATTCGCCGATGTAAACATCACATTTTTAAGCATAATTTTACGACACCTGCCACTATTTTATCAGCGAGTGTGAAAAGATTACACCCGGAATTGCATAGTAATTACACGCAACCTCACACAGACCGTGTAAATTTACTTGCATATAAATTAATACACACAGAAGCACAAGTAAATATTTTGATACCTGTTTGATAGTAAAAATGAAATTTGTTAAAGAACTTAAAAAACATTGACCCACATTAGACCAATTTTGGACAAGTCATAAACAGTAGTAAACTTTGTCTTCAAAAAGTTGAATAAACGTCGGTAAATTATGCGGTAAACTACAAATTTGAAAATTTTGTTTTACAATGCCTGTTGCAATAGCGGATGAATAACAATCTAAAAATAATCATTGGATATTTAATTTAATATAATCAAAATCAACAACAACTAGAATTGTAAGTGTTTCTGCAGGAAACAGACAAATTTTCATTTGTCACATATTTTCGCGATGCCGATTTTTACGATGAAAAAATAAAGTTACCAAAAGGAAAATTTGTTTTGTTAAAATGTGTCCAATAGCACTTAAAATGTAGTTTATTAATGAAAATTCCTTAAGGTATTGTTTACATTAATTTTGATTGAGAATTTTGCCAGTATGTGTTGTACAATGAATATTTTCTTAAGGGAGGGGGGTGTGTGGAGTTAATCAGGAAGAAATCATTATAATGGTCTGATGATAGAGGGTTTTAGAATTTATACTTCAAATATCACTATCAATAAATAGGTAAAACTCCTTTTTATAGATCAAATCAATGTGCTATAAGCACTTTTTCACTTCTCCTTATGTCGTCAAACTTCTCCCTGATAGGAGCTGAGGGAGAAGTCACTTCTCCCTAAAATTTTAGTCTAGCTAGAGCCCTGTCCTAGCTTTGAAAGGTTTGTCTCCAGCAGCCATAAACTTGCATACTGGGACGCTGAAATTAGCATCTTCATCTACATAATACTGCTTCAAAATTGTTTATGATTACACTAAGCTGGTATACATTGAATACATTGAGAGACAGCTATGAGATAAAAGGGAATCCAGGAATCAGTCCCTAGCTCTTATATATAAAAGGTTCTTTTACATGCCCAGTGTATAGCATTGATACATGCAAGGATTACCTGGATTTCTTACCAGTACACCTCTTAGCGTCTAGGTAGGTGGGAAACACTGAAAGTGTCTCTGAAAAACCCCAAGGGTGTTACCGAGGACCTCAGGAGTGACAGTCAGTGGTCTAACCGAATTATGGTGGTTTCGTCGAACTACCGGTTCGGCGAACTTAATTTATGAAGAGGTGTGAAAGTGGTTTCTTCGACCTTATGTTATAAAGTAATTAAAGGCAATGTAGACTAGTGATGTTCCGATTGTCGCAAGTCGCTGATAATCAGTTACTGTTATGTAAAGCGACAATAATCGATTCACAAAAAATTGTTCCGCAACGTCGTCGAAAATGTTTAAAGTGTCAAAACGAATTAATTCTGACGGTAATTTTCTTTTAGGAACACCTCGCCGATGGCAAAAAAATTATCTCAGAGACAATTTGGAGTTGAATAGGATCAATACGTGATGTAAACAATAGTAATATAATGTGATGTGAATGTTATTATTTGACATCCATTGGAAAATTAAATCTATTTCGTAAAATAATAACTAAATAGGGTTAAAACTGTGTTGAAAAGTGCTAAATGAAGTTCATATTACTGAATATAATCAAGTGCCTTGGGAAAAAATGTTTCTTCCCTATTTCTTTTTAACGCGACTTTAATCGGAAAGTAATCGATTATGTCCCATCCGATTGAACCGATGATCGATTGGGACAAATTTCATCCGATTTCCATCACTAATGTAGACAATGGTTCATATATATATAAAGTGTTTTATCATCTTGTCTTTAATTGCATGAATACGTGTGATAAACCACACATTAAAACCCACGATAATTGGCATGCCCATTATACAATAGATATTGTTCGCACAATACAGGGTTTCTACTAGGAATTTTTATTTAAGAGTCCCAGGGACTCGTGCTCATAAAAAATGAGGGTCCCAGAGAAAAATATGAGGGTCCCAGGCCTAGACATTAACTTTTGAATCAGTTTGTCCTGTCGGGCAAGTAGTTTTTAAAACTACTAGCCCTGACCTAAGACTTACTTGTCCTGACCTAAAAATGGTAAAAATGTATAAATTAGAAAAACAAACAAGCTCATACATTATTAAATACTTCTTGTATTAGGTAATAAACTGGACATATTGTTTATGAAATTGATTGTTAGTTAGACACAAATATTTTTTGTATTTAGTAGTTTTCTAAAACATCGGTTCATCTGTTTATTCAATGTGAATATACTACGGTCATGTACATTTGTTGATATAGGAAACAGAAGGAAAAATATGAGCATGCGCCGCGGTAAGGTAATTCCCCGTTCAATCATCAAGTCAACAGCCGTAAACGAGTCTTCGTTGTGTTCATAATGTTGTTATATTAGATTAACCAATAAATCATTTTAAATGCAAAAACTTTATCAATTATATTTAAAGATCAATATGATTATTTACATATTTTCAATGATATCTTTACATGCAAACATCAAAATTTAAACAACAGCTAACCCGGGAATTACCTTGTACAAAATTAGATATAGTCTATTATTAGAACGGGGTATTACCTTACCGCGGCGCATGCTCATATTTTTCCTTCCGTTTCCTATATCAACAAATGTACATGACCGTAGTATATTCACATTATTGATAATGATTCATGGTGTATTTTGTTTTAAAGATGTTTATAAATGAAAAGATGTTATTTCTATTCATATTGTACATGCATTTTGTCAATGATGCTTTTTATTTTCACTTGCCCTGTCGGACAAGTGCTTTTCAAAATAACTTGCCCGGACCAAACTTTTAGTTGTCCCGGGCAGTCGGACAACCGTTAATGTCGAGCCCTGGGTCCTAATCATTTATTACTTTAAAGTAAGGTATTACTTATATATATTGTCTAGGTTTAATTCTTTACATTTATATACATTGTTCAACTACATGTGCATTTTTATTGACCTTGTTATCGATAAATAAAATGAAAAAATATAAACCATTTATCATTCATTGTTACTTTTTATTTTTTCATTTCTTTCATTTGGCTGAATGTTTGTGCAACCTGCATAAAGTCAAGATCTTTCACATCTGGTCCGACTAATTTTATCAATTGTTTAACTGCATACGGACAAATGTATCTACTATTTTGGAAGTTCAAACATCCATTTTCCGAGGCAAATGGATTACATTTTTTGGTTGAGACGCAATGGCTGCATTTCATATCCGTGGTCTTCTCGTTTTGGACGAGCCACGGGTAAGTTAACTTAGCCACTTTTCATTAAAATTGGGGGAGCAGCCGACATGTTTTACGATTTATTTTATAACAAAAAACGCATAGACTGGGACGCTTTTTTAAGGTCGACTAAATTCTAGTATGCGCCGTTTTATTCCGTATTAAACTGAAATTAATTGAAAGAAAGATAACTCTGCTCATTCAATATTAGAACCCGTCTACCAAATTACGTCATTTCCTTTAAAGAAGCGGAAGGAATTTCCAAATGATATTTACAGAGGAAAAATTAATTTGCGTCCCCATGGACGCACACTTCGAGTAATTGAGGGTCCTAGGTTACTATTTTTGCGTCAAGGACGCAGGAAATGTGCGTCAATAGAAACCCTGACAATATAAATTAAGTTCGCCGAAACCACTACCTGTTTTATTTTATAAGATCAGTTTGCCGAAACGGTAGTTTAACGAAACCACATCACCCGTCTAACCAACTGAGCTATCGCGTCACCTCCATCAGGAACCCCGAGTGGTGAACAATTACAAATATTGAAATACTTATCTTTACAGAAAAAAGCTACATTGTATAATACAATTCTGTATGCAGCACTGGTTTAAACATCAGGATCTTATCAGCAGATGTCAATTCGTTAATAACTAGGAATTTGCAATTTTGACATTCATTATTTAATATTTTGACATTGATTTCTTTTTCAAACTTATGTCAACAATAACTATAACACATAAACATTAATTAAAGAAGATGCTTATTCTAGTTTTAATTATACCTCAATCCATTAAACAGCTGCTTTGACTTTTCCAGGAGATGACAAAATTCATTGACAATTCTCTTCTCATTCTCATCCATTGGTGGCGCAGTGCCTTCCTCAGACATTTTTGATTTCTTAAATTTTTACACCGTCCTTACGTTATAAAATAAAAACTGCGAAGAGGAACGGCAAACAGTTAAAGCAATCACTTGGCATTCAATATTTAGTCATTGCAATCTCAAATTAATCACACATACGATAAATAAACTGAAAATATTTCAGTTTTTGTGTCCATGCAAAAATTAAAGGCGGTGCATGTAAAATTTGTATCAGAATATTGACGAATTGTAAGGTAGTACGCCACTAAATAATTTGCTCTTTTTTTTCTTAAAGCCTCTGCTGCCTGAAGTGTCTTATTAAAATCTTGGGCTTAAAATACTGGACCGGTAAAATAAAAGATGTTCCTGTCCACGGATTTATATTACAAATATTATAAATCCGTGTCCTGTCGTAGTTAACAAACTTTTTGTTTCAATTTTGAAAAAAGAATAATTCAAATTCCATGAAGAGATACGTAGGCCACTACATATGTTAGTTTATTCACAGATATTCAGACAATTATTATATTAAGTTCCATGGTTTATTATGCACACGTAATGATAAATATTGATGAAATAAAATACGTATTTTGACTTTCCGTATTTTCACTGTAAAATTTATTTTTCACTGCGCACAGTGAAACATTTTTTCAGTATATTTACTTGTGTCTTAGCTGATTACTTTCTTCTAAATTCAGCCAATACACAAAATTTCTGGGGAACTCTGTCAAAAAAGTACAATGTACATAATAAACAGAAATTTCAAGTGTTTTTCCTATAAATACAGGATTTATTTCCATATTGTTATATGAAATTCATTATATTTCACCTACTGTCACTCGCGAAATCTATTTTCGTACTACTCGACGAAAATAGATCCTGTATTTACAGAAAAAAAAAGAAACTTGTATATCCTCTATATATTTCCCTATAAGCGAATAGCCCACCCACAAAATCATTGTTAAACGTTAATTTTGAGAAAAAAATCAAACAAACAAAAGAAAAAACGTTAGATAAATAAAAAAAAGCTTTAAAGTAGGACGGTAGTTGCAATTACCACTTCTTTCGGGCCTTTCCATGAACAGGCTTGAAATAAAAAAAAAAAGCCTGCAACATTTTCAATTTTCTGTTTCGGGCATTCTTAATTAAGGGATTTCTAAAAAGTCCCCCGTACATTAATCAATCAGTTCTATGCATTCTTTTATTCAGGGACCATACGCCACTTTTCACATGGTCCAAATGTGTCGCCACATCTGCGCATATTTCTAAATCCAAAATTTCACTATTTTCATGTATAAATGTTGAATATTTCTTAGGCCGTTGCAAGGGGTACGTTTCTTGCAACTATCACTAGCGTCCATGATCAGACCCAATCAAACCGATCTTGCAACATTTTCAATTTTGCCGTTTTGGGCTTTCTTTAGGGATTCTGTTTTTCTTTTATTTAACTGACCCTTGCACGTATTTGTCTATTAAGACGCACTTATTTAAATAAGTTTTACAATGGTTAGATAAATGTTTTTAAAAGACTATTTATGGGAAATAGACAGTCACAAATTTTCGAATTACACAGGCCTTCTCGTTGGATGAAAATGTAGGTCAAAGAAATTATATAGCACGAATATATTTTATCGTGCGATCACGAGGAAATTGATTCACTTTCATTTACAGTACTTAAATATACGCTGTGCTTCGGAAATTCTTTTCTTGTCACGATTTAAAATACATTAAATTAAAACATAGGGTGGTTCCTGTTTACTCATTCCATCAGGTTACAAAACAAGACAGTCTTGCCATCATAGATACAAACACATTGCCACATCAGTCAAGATTCGTACAAATATTCATTTTACCATAGAACAATCAATCATTCAATGGAATATTTTATACAGAAGACACAGTAGAGTCATCCAGATCAGTTATTATTGTGCCTCTTTTGGCGATATTTTAAAATTTTCACGTTTGTAAGAATATTTAACTGGCATCCACATGTTATATTCAGTGAATTAAAAGAATATGGTTTTCGTAAGAAGAAGAGAGGGAGAAAAAAATAATGTAATTTTGAGCTTGGAAAAGAATATAATTTTCAGTTATAAAATAGTAATATTTTGAGCTTGAAAAAATGTAATTAAAGCTTTGAAAAGAATATAATTTGACATTGAAAAAGAATCTAATTTTGATTCTATAAGACAAGGCGATTAGGGGACTCTGTTTTGGACCAGGAACAAGTGTCTTATTTTGCCGGAAACAAGAGCGTCTGAACTTTCCAATGAATTTTTATTATTAACGACATTTTCTTTCTCCATAACAGACAGTTTCGTACAAGTTTGCTTTTTTCATAAATTCAGAAACCTTCACAACATGGCCCCTTTAGTTGTTTTTCATAGTTACACTGTAGACACCATTTGAATACTTAAGGGGTTGAACCGTTCAATTCAGGTTTCAAATTATGATTAGTCATAAAACAATGATCGCGAATAAGCAGTATCTGTAACGATATATCGCATACATGAAAATATTAGTGTCATATAATGTCATGTCGGCCAGAAAAATGATGAAAACCTGGCCGGTTCGGAACATTGTCTCCATTATTTCTCGGGATGTACAGATACTGGTCATTTCTTCCTTACTTAATGCGGCCAGTTAATGCTTGGTTTTGAAAATTATTTGTTTGTCCTCGTAAGGTTCCATTTGAATGCAACCAAATTGTTAGTTCCTACGTTCAAAGAAAAGTTTTCCTTCTAGTCTATCTATCTTCCATTAATGTCAAACCCTTCGAGAGGACGTAGACATAACTCTAGACTAGTCACTTCAGAGACAACTTTGAGATACAAGGGAATCCGGGAACCTGTCCCTAGCTCTTATTGGAAAGACCCATTGGTTTTTTTACATGCGAGGATTACCTGGATTTCTTACCAGTACACCTCTAGTTAGGTGAGAAACACTGAAAATGTTTCTGACAAATCCTAAGGGTGTTACCCAGGATCGAACCCGGGAGCCCAGGAGTGACAGCTAGTTGTCTAACGAACTTAGCTATCGCACCAACTATGTCCACGGAGTCAGTATTACAACCGGTGTAACATTAAAAGTTGACGCCGTTGAAAATTTACGAAAATTTATAAACATTGGTCATTTTTAAACGTTGAAAACTGAGCCTGGGTGAGTTGGGAATTGATTCTGCCAACAATTAACATTAATTTTTTATCAAAAAGTCGTTGAGAACTGATCCATCGTTAAATGTTGATTAATTATAACAGTCAGTTTCAATTTTAGTTAAACGAAAAACGCTGGGAAGAAACATAATTTCTCACAGGCGTCATCACAAGCACGAAAAATGCACCAACCTTCCTATTGACCAGGAGAAGTAACCGTTTGCGGTTACACTACAAACATTTTGCAGCGGTTACTTCCCCTGACCAGTTGGTAAAAAACAACAACAAAAAACAAAACAACTGAGCCCCAGCTGCAAACGCACTTATATATATTAATAAGAAAATTAAATATAACACGGCTGTTGTAGATCCTTAACTTAATATGCATCCTAAGAGAGGTCAAGATGGATTTTAACTAATGTGATAGTAACAATAAGAGACCGTAACTCGACCCCCTGTGGAAAAACATAAACATACATTATTCTGCTTGCAATTGGCAAATGCTCATCACTTATGTACAGATCTTAAAGGAATACAAAAATATTACTATGTATGACCATTGGCATATTTCATCACTTATCAATGTTCAAATATGGAATGCCTAGGCCTATAGTTGAGCAGTTTTCAACGGGGGTCAACATTTCACGCATGGGTTGGGAAGAAGTCAAACGTTGACAATTGATGACGTATATTTGCAGCTGGTTGTTGTTGTTGGACACCGACACAGTAAAGATCATACGGCGACGTTCCAGCTTTACTGGTGGAGCAAGACCTTAGCTGCCCTTCCGTTCATTATTTTAGGCAGGAATACCTGAGTAGAACCACCGACGTTCTGTAAGCTAGCTGGATAGCTTCCTCACATGAAAGAATCCAAAGTGAAAGTCCCTGTCGGGATTCGAACCCACAGCGGTATGGGGAAATTTGGGTCATATTTAATGTAACACCAGGGTAAAACTTTTACGTACAAATTATTGTGCATATTTTCTCTCATTACCAACTTGAGATAATTGTTGGTCACTTTCATACTTATTACCAAGACTATTATAGGTCACTGTCTAGGGTCGAGACATATAGCAAGGATTTCTACAGAATAATTGCCGTTTGTGAAGTTAGAACATTTCTGGTTCGAGTGACACCACTTGGACCTTAATATATGTCTCTGTAACCATAATTGAATATCACTTTCCAAGGCCCATAACTTTTCTTTTGATTCAAATAAATTATGGCCCTTTGTAAACTTAGACCATTCCTTGTTTCTTGAAAGCGTTTCTGTACTCGCCAGTACTTGTGTCACAAAATATAATTTTCGCAGTAAGGCTCAAGCCTTTAACTGGGTACATCTATATGTGTAGGTATGTTTTTCCTAAATTCTTCCAGTAGAACTTGCTTTGACTTATGTTGTTGAGAAAAGTTTAATAATGTTAATTAAACCATCTTTACCTGGGTGTGCTGGACTAACAAGTGCTGTTGTCACAAAATTACGGCTATGACTTTTCAAGGACAGTGTAAACATTAAGGATTAATGGGTCCGTTCCCAGCCTTAAAATCAAGGCTTCTTAGTAAATGATAAACTCTATTCAATTTAAAATGTTTTATTTTCAAAGACATAAAAATATAGGTTTATAGATATGAATATTTTATAAACAATCAACATAAATTCTAAAACAACAAAATATGCTATTAACATATCTTAATTGTTTAACACTAAACTAACAGAAAGTCATAATAACATAAAAATAATTAAACTATACACACAGTTATCTCTCTTGATGGAATAGCTTATTCAGATTACAGTTAGAAGTTTTTGCATGCACTAAAAACATTAGACAATGGTTAAATCTTAAAATTGTGAAAAATAAAGTTAAACTTGAAATTCTGTCAGTTCTTATTGTAAATATACGATAGTTTAATTCTTTTTTGTTCGTTTCTTTTTAATTTGCAATCAACTTTTGTAGAGGAAACAATCTTGAATTAACTTTGAATGCCATATATCATACTGTAATAAATGTGTATTATAATCTACTTGTATTTACTTCGCTACTTTTTAGCAAAACTAAACTCTTCTTAAGTTAAAGAAATGTTTTCAGTTGTAAATTAAATTCTATTATCTATCTAGTTTAGGGAAATTGGATTCATAGTTATTAATATGCATGTACTTTTACAAATCAATCAATGTTACAGCTCAAACTTTAGATACTGAGTATCCATAAAATTACTTGTTTTAAAGGTTTTAATCTTGGAACATCAGTGATAGTATATATATTAATTGTACAAATTAAGTGATTTATTATAATCTAAGACACTTATTTTAGCATTGTACATGTATTAGTAAATTTGTAAAAAATAAAATAAAACTACCCTCAAGTACAAATGCTTATGTTTTAGCTGATCATTTAAAAACCCTTAAACTACCGTAAAGCTACAAATATGACTTATGCATTTAAGACATACAACCTTGCACTTGAAATTCACAAAAAGTAATGTCTAAAATATCATTATGTAAAAAAAAAGTCATTACTCTGTTTTATAAGTATACAGTGTACAGCATAAATAAACAAAATATTAAATAAGACATATTCAATTGCGTATTAAAACATGCGAAGAATTTTCGGAATAATGAATTAATATATGTATGCGTTTCTGTATTTTTAAAATTTTACTTTTTTCTTGTAAAAAATGTTTGCTCATATGGAAAAGTGTCACTTTAATATACACAAATATAAATACAAATATGGACAGATATTATGAAACACCTTGTATTCTAGTGTTGATTGTGAATCAGTGAATCAACAATAGAAAAAAAGCGATTTTATATATTATAATACATGTTTATTAATACATTAATGCTCGCTTGAATAAACTAAACAATTGTGTTGAAGTTTCAATATGTTATAATGTTAGAATTAATTAAAATGTTTTCCAGTAGAAGAAAACGTGCATTGACAATACAGTATTGAATGAGTGTATGTTCACGCCTGGCAAACTGTCGCTCCACTTCAAAATTGTGGTGTACGGTAAAACGAGCGAACGGCATTACCGAGATAGAGCGGAAGGCCGATTGTAAGTATTGTTTATGTTTTTGTCTTGTTATTTATCTAAATTGTATTTTTTCGAAAAACGGAAAATGTAGTTCCGTGTAGGATTGATTTAGGCTTCCAATGATCTTACCTGTTACAAAAAGAAAATTATGTTAAGCCCGGGAGAACTTTTCTCCCTGGCGAAGCGAACGATGATTTGTAGAATATTGAACTTCCCAACCATAGAAATGCCATACCTTTTGGATTTCTTGTAAAAAAGTGTATTAGTAAATTATCAACCCGTAATAAGAACTTGCTCTTCGTGCAAAATTTGCAAAATAAATTACTCCTGAAGGATTTCTTAAATTTGTAAATCGATATTTTTCGAAAGTAGTGGCGCGAAAGGGCAAGAGATGGAGCAAAAGGTTCGATGTTGAGCGCAAGGCGATATTAATTTGACGTATTAGGAGGAGCGTAGTCGATGGTTTTTATAAATAAAAGCTATAGAAGTTTAAATAGACATGATCAAGTGTTAAGACCGAGATATGTATACCTTTTACAGAGAACTAATTTATTGTGATATCCTTTCAACGACTATATATTTTAGAAAAGTTCTCCCGGGCTTAATATAATTTTCTTTTTGTAACAGCTTAGATAATTGGAAGCCTAAATCAATCCTAAAGACAAAAACATAAACAATTACAATTAGGCGTTTAAATCGGCCTTCCGCTCTATCTCGGAAATACCGTTCGCTCATTTTACCGTACACCACAATTTTGAAGTGGAGCGACAGTTTGCCAGGCGTGATGTTTAATACTGAATTTATTGAATGATATGCAATAAAATATCATACCCGCCTATGACTAGCGTAATATTACATGTATTTCAACTAGTTCAATAAAATAAGTTATGACGCTTTACAAATAATATAATATTCTATTAATCACAAACCTGAAATAAGAACGCTGGCGTGTGCTTATGTTAAATTTGAAAAAAATGATATGATGTCATGTCCAAATAAATGCACGACAGTACTTAAAACGGCACGATTATAATATATAAACTAGAGACATCTACATGATATCAATATCTACAATCTAACATAGATCTGAAACAAATATACATATATATGTAATGAAGTCCATGCTTTTAAAATGACGTCACATTTTACGCCATAATCGTGTCAGCATTTCACCTTCTCTAATAAGTATGTACATATTCGTCGCCTTATTCTAAAAATGTCCTAACTCCATTTTTACCAAAAATGAGATAACTGCACATTTATTTTAGTATTAGTTTGTTCTATCTCCAAAACAAAACTTGTGAAGATTTACGTCATACTTTTGTAGATATAGCGTCTGTATTTTGTTCTATGTCCAATGGAAAGCTTTGCTGTTAGCCTTTTTTCGTCGTATCTCCAACACATGTAACACTTTTAGGCTAATCTTTCGTGCCAGCCAATCAAGTTGAAAAATATATGTCATGTGACCTGAAGGGGCCTGACAATATAATTGTTCTAACTCCAGTGATAACAACAACAATCGTATCTAAATCAGCCAGCTAACTAGGAAAGTAACAGTTAAAAAATGATTTCTGAAGCATGTAAGTAATATATTTTAGCTTTTATACGTTTTTAAGTGAATTTATATTTTGTTTTTTGTATTTGTTTCATAGTATTATCATTCTTTTATATATATTTCTCAAAGTTTCACAATCACATAGTTTCGGATAACTATATTCGGATATTCGTATTAACTATTTGGAACTATTTGGAGTATCGAACATTGTTGTTGTTTAATTGTTAATGATAATATTTGGTCCATTTCAGGTCAGACTTACTTACATTATCTGACGTTGTCCTTACAGAAATGTTGTCTCTTAGTACTTGTGACTGCAGTTAGCAGAACTTCCACAAAACTATGGAATTTTATATCAACAACATCAAGTCTGTGGTGAAGTTTTGACTTGCCGTCAGTTTCAGATAAATCATTGTTTAAAGTCTTAAAATATTCACAAAATAAATAGATAATTAACATTCCAATGGGATCGGAATACCACTGTCTTGTCAAAACATAGATTTTAAGTTTGCATGCGAGTTTCAGTGTTCTCATCAATGATTATATTTATTAGATAATAGCAGAATTCTTAAAGCACAATACGGCATGATCTAAAATGTTGCCGGCTCGGTTTGAGTTAGCCTGTTCATGGAATGTCCAGTATCTACGTTGTGCGACAAACATCAATATGGGAGATCGCAAAATTCACTGGATGTAAAATCTTGAAAACGACGATTTTGCAATCTTGAAAGATTGTTAAGAACTTGAGCAGATATTTTTTCATACGTCGATATTAAACCACAAACAATACTTGAGACTTTGAATGCATGTGGTATTGACTTTAATTGTGTGAATTAAAAAGAATTATTGGTAACATTTTAACATTGATAGAAACGATCGCAAATGTAAACTATGTATATGTATTGAATCAGAATACCACTTCCTTTTATGTTGTCCAATTTATACTGTTATAAGAACCAAATATTTAGGAAACATTTCATGGCCTACTATACAAAAATTTTCGACTATAATGTCCACTAATAACAAAAAGCTTATTCTTAAATGTGCTCACTATGTTCATAATGCATTTAAGTTGAGGCAACAGTCTCTTGAAGATGTAACTGCTTCTTAATTAGTTTCATTCTTGTACTCTTTTTGTTATATATTGTATGATGTAATGTTTGTAACTATTTAACTTTTGGCCATATTTGTCATGATACTCTGTTAATGACCAAAGGTAATGTTTATTTGCCGATTTGCCAATAAAATGAAATGAAATGAAATGGTAATATAATTTATATCTGTATCATTTAATCACAATATTAGAGATGGTTACAATCATTTCATTTTTCATAATGGTTCAAAATATGTCAGTTTGTTTTAGCAAGTTCATTGATTAAAAATTTTGTTAAATGTTTGTTTTTCTTTTTTTATGGCACAATTTTATATTGTTATTATCGAGAAAGGCCCAAGTTGGAGATCACCTGAATGAATTTACACTTTGACATAGTATTTTACGAAGATAAAGTGATTCAGTGTCAGCGGTTCAACCACTCTGGCTGAAAATGATCTTTAGAATGTAAAAATCTACTTATATTCTATAGTAAAATTATTACTCTTAAAAAATGCTAACTCAAAAAGTATTTACAATTTTAGCCTTACTTTGTCATATCTCCGCAAACTCATTTTTAGAGTAATTTTTTTATCTAAAAATAAACATTTTTGGTCTATCTCCAATTTTTTTTTTAAATTTTTACAATTACTGCAAGTTATAAAGGTATATAACAAAGTGCTTTCATCACATGTTGACATCTATAATACCAATCCAGAAGTCCACACTGTTAGGAGTTATTAAATAAAAGTTACAACGTCTTGAACCTTTAACCCCTTTTTCCCAAAAAAGAGGAAATTGTAGATACACCATTTTTAGAATAGGGCGACGAATTATGATTATAACATTTTTACAAATAAGATGAAAAAATACATTAAATCACGGATTTATATTACTATAAATCTGTGATTAAATATATACTTTGCTCATTTTTTGTAAAATACTTTTATTTTTTTCTATTGAAATCTAGTAAATTTTTCCTAATTATATCTAATATGGATTAGGGAATGTATAAACTATACTTGGGAAGCTCTTTTCCTATTACTTCTTAAACTAATTTTGTCTATATTTCTTATGAAACTGCCAGTTTAAAGGGACTCCACTGAGGTTTAAAAGCCTAAAAACACAACATTTGATCTTTTTACATAAATGAGCTGGGGTAATATATGCAAAAAATAGTTAAGAAATATACTTTGAAATAAATTGAAACTCGTACTTTTATGCCTTTCTTTGCTCGATTTGAGTGAAAAGCATTTAAACGCTTTTCATTTTGGGTCATTTTTTACAATTTGAATAATTATTCTGCAAAACGAAGTGCGCGAATGATCTGAAATTTTGCACAAGGATTAGTGGTCTAAACCTACATCAAATGGTACATTTATCTACAAAAAATATTTCAGTACGTTCATGTAAAAAACCCTCAGTGGAGTCCCTTAAAAATTTAATGACACCATGCATTTATACTGATATTACCTGTAGTCTGTAGAATTTAAAACAGAAAATATCTTCTCTGTGTGTATTCAAAAGATGTTTATTATACATTTTAAAATAGGCTTTATAGTAATAATCAGTTTGTTTCTTTTCAAATATGAAATTTGGGCATAATATGTATTTAATGAGAACTCATAAGTATAGTGTATATACATCTATATTTACAAAAAATACATTGTATCAGACTAGAACATTTTGTAAACAACATTGACAATTAATATATATATTGTTGTATATACAAATCTGTATCAAATCAGCGCAACCCTCTACATATAAATACATCTATGAGTAACCAAAATATATAAATGCAAGGACAAAAGAAAACAATAACTTTACAGAACAATCAAAATATTCAACCAATGTTGAATGAAAAACAAAATGACGAGAAATCCTAATATTGCATGATTGTATATCACATTTTTATAATGGTGCACATTTGTAACGTCCCTTTTCATTGGACTTATAATTTTATATACACGACTGATTTCAATTTATGAAGACATCTCACTTTTATCTCTAAAAAGATGCTTGCTGTATATTATAAACTCGTAATAAATTTTTTTCTCACAGGTTATATGACTGTAAAACGGTTGTTTGCAATATAATCATTTATATAGGGCCATATAACCTGTCAAAAATCTATAGAACTAATAAAATATGGCTGCAATTATTTATGAAGACATTTTCCCATTTCTTCATTCTAAGGAATTAGGTTGTTAAATAAATTCGTTTGAGATTCTTGACAGGATATATGGCCGTGCGATATAACCAAAGTCAAGCGGGTCAGGTTATAAAATCTCACAAGTGATTGTGATGGGCCATATAACCTGTCAACAACCTTTATAACTAATTTTATCATACTGTACATGTGTAATGTCAACTTGAACAGGACATCATCTATATACAAGGTTGTTGCACACTCAAGATATATAGTCCATTTTAGAAAAAGACAGAAGCTGTGCCATTATCATAAATATGTAATACATAAAATCTTCTGACAGAATACAAGTAATAAGTATATAAACGTCAAGATTATCCAGTGAAAAGCGACCTTATAAATGTGTAGGATTATAACTGTCCATATAACCTGTAAAAATCTAAATTACTAACTTATATACATGTACATATCAATCATGAGAAAATATATCAATGTTAATACTAACATCACGAACAGCAAAATAGAACATGTTCACTTATCTTATCTATACATATAGAGCATCAATTTAATAACTTTCAAGTTTCCTTTATGTCATCAGCAACTATTACTGCAGAAAAATGAATGAATAAAAATAAGCGCGAAACTATCATCAAAATCCTACAATAATACAGAATTCCAGTCTAATAGTACAATAAACATCTATACATATACCAGGCTTTACAATCATCTTAATAGTAAAATCATTTACTGTTTAACAATTCTTGATATATCACTTCACTCTTAAATTGCAAAAAATAGTATTAATGCAAATATTATGAAGTAAAAATATTTCGAATCGACTTGCTTAAACTAGATTTTTTTTCTACATAAGTTTAATCATGGCTTAGTGTAATTATAGCTGTGGTTACATTTGTGTTTTCTACCGGTAGGAATTCAATTCACTGATAAAAGAGTTTCTTAGTTCTTAAACATTTGACAGCGGTCATGGTGTAATTTTCTTTGATGTGAAGTTGCATTGATGAAATCAGATATCAGTATGGTACTTGTGATGCAAGTTTGTATTTTTACACAGTTAAACCAGGAACAAGAAGCATACACATGGTACTGGTGATGAAACCATGTTTTAAACAATTTGCTTTTGGGTTTGTTTTCGTTAAGCCGGGAACCAGGAGTAAATTTCTCATCATCCCTGTAGATTGGTGAAGCTGAAATTCTGGAAAAAGAAATAAAATAAATGAATAATTAAACATAATAAAATACAGATGTAAGTATTTTCTTAACATATTTTATGTGCTTTTTTAGAAATATCTATGGTGAATACCTCGTATGTATCAAATGCAAGATTCCAGGCACAGTGGCCTGATAGCCAGCTGAATAAAAATGTATTTGTTTATAAAAGAACAAGCGGACATCCAAGTAGATACACCGACCTTCCATAAATGATTATTCTTAATCTAATCTTAAAGGAACGAGAAAGGAATTTCCCATTAGTGCAGTTTTTAATATAAGAGTACACAGTACATTACCTACGAAACTGGAAAAATTCCATTTATTTCTATTAATTAGACTACACAACAGTACAAATGAATCATGCCTAGGTGATGGAGGAAAAAATATTCTTTTAAAGAAAAACCTCTTTACTTTGCTTCGTAAATTTGTGAGATGAGGCAAATTGTCAGCAATATCTTCCTGGAGGCTATCTTCGAGTACCATTTTTCTATCTCCATTTGCAGTTTATTGAGCGGAAAATCATTTAAGATAATATAAGAATTATTACATTGGCAAGAAAGAAACATGTCTATGTTGATAAGTAGTTCATTTTCATTGTTTTGGTGTCATCATTGATTCTGCATCACAAATATTCCACGGCCGCTGACAAGTGATATTAGACATATGATATGACCGAATGTTCAATATTTTGTTTTCTGTGAAAAATCTGTAATGAAAGACGTCTGTAATAAAAGATATATATATAAATATATGGTTTATATATATATACATATGGTTTATATATATAACCTTATGGCTGCAACTAAATATACTTCTCATGCAACTAGTTAAACTAGTTATAACCAAGAACGGTCGGCACATTCATGCCAATTGCTCATGGTCGTACTGTTTATAATTTCAAATTTTCAATATATAAGTGCTCACTATAAAAATCTATAGATGTGTTAAATTTCAATCTGATATCAAAATAATATCAAAAGTATTCACTATGAATAAATAAACTAATAGTTCAATTATTAAAGTTTAAACTTTTAAATTAAAAGCATATTTTAGAACACTATTCACTTTAAAAATCTAGTTCAGTATATATTGTAATAACCATATAATAAAAGTATAAACCTCTCGTACCTGTCAACTATTTCCTTTTTTAATGACGACTATTCAAATTGTATATGAAATAGTTCCGTAAAATCGTCCGTGCATTATTCTTTTCAATTAAATGTTTTCTATACTGTCACTTAATTAACTTCCAAATTGTCTATCATTAGTCTGAATGTAAATATACTGAATCGATAAAGTTAAGTTTGATAAGTCTCTGTTTTTTGTTTTGGTTTTTTCTAAGTATTTTCATTTACAATATTTAAATTAATGTCTTCAGCTTATTTCACAATGTTTTTCTTTTTTGGTCTTTTCTGAACTTTTTTCCAACTTAACGACGCTAAGCCAGTCGTCGTCTCGTATCACATTAAATGTTTGTGATCTCCGAATATTTTCTCTAATACGGTCATACTCTGTGAACGGTTTTATGTAACCCATCTCTACTGTAACTGTCTGCGGCAGATTTTCCAGCAGGGTAATCTTCTGTAAACTTCCTGCAGACATATCTATCTCCTTCAACTCCAAATGAGCAATATTCAACATGTCACATGACAGTATTAAAGAACTTTCATCTAGATTGATGGACGACAACTTAACATTAACTAATGACGGAGTCGTTATATTTAAGTGTAATCTAGGAAAGTTCCGCAACTTTAACTTTGTTAGTGTTGAGTGTTGAGACACGTCTAAGTTCCATCTCTCACACTCATGGCCGACGTGTTCTTTACATTTTAACCCCTTTAATGTTAATTCTTTCATTAATTTTTGATGGTAGACAAAATTGAATATTGTTTCCATTATTTTGTGAGATAACGTGAAGCTGCTAATATGTAAATATTGTAATTTTTGACATCGGGCCAAATTTTCATTCAGAGTTTCTTCACCATTTGTCCATTTACCAGTCCGCAAAGTAACACTTTGCAAACTGGGAAACAATATTAGATTGATCTCAGCTTCCTTCTCCTCGTCATCTTCATAAAAAAGTGTCTGTATATGACATAGATCTGTGAGAGAGAATAAATCTATAAGTTCATGTAATTTTCTTGAAGTATTAATGGTGTCTATATAAAGGGATTTTATGTTGTGTTTATTTTGTTTTAATAAACGTTGTAACAGTTCACTGTGCTCGTTGATCGCGTCAATGAAGAAATCTTGTAAACATAATTGAATATTTTCACTTTCAGGCATTTCTTGCAAACACGACATGAACATTGTCTGTATAACATAAAATGGAATAGTGTATATGTAGTGTTCGACACATGTCCTTATCCTAAAGTCGCGCGTTTTCTCGTCTTCATTTCTCACAGTCATCAAGTCATTTGATATTGCACACATCCGGTCAGCATTCAATTTACTTATGAATTCCCAAATGTTTGACATGTCCAGAATGTCTTGAAGATTTCTACATTTTTCTAGAACAGTTTTCTGAGCGTCACTTTGTGAACTTATAAATATGGCAGCAAAGAATTCCTGAACTGTTTTGTGGAAAAACGATACTTTACTATACTTTTTTGTTAGTGTTTTGGATGTACTTTCAGACAACATCCCTGAGTGGAGTGTGAACTTCATCTCGTCTGTTGAGAGATATTTTTTGGCTACTGATTCAGCAAATACAAGCGTGTTTTCCTTTGTTTCATTGAGTAATGTATAAAAAGCTAATTTTCCTAGATTCACCAGGAGTAGGTAGTATTTCATACAGTTTTCATATTCAGCAAAGTATTTTGGGATGTCACTGGAAGAAATGTCCAGCTGTTTGAGTTGTCTCTGCTTCCGAGTCGTTCTCGATAAGAGTAGCTCGATCAGATTAACATAGATATCACATTTTGAATTTCCTATTTTAGCACCGTCGCACCATAAACAAATTGTAAATATTAAAAGTAGAGGCACAGAAGTAAGTTCGGCGTTTTTTCTACTATTTATTTCTTCTTTCAATTTTGTGACGTCTTTTTGTAATGCATCCTCACTTACCTGAGGTTTTAATATTTGTAATATCCTCCTTGTAAGGGTATCTGCCGAGTTTTTACTTAGTTTTGTAAGTTCTACTTTTTCGCCTATCTCACTCGACTTAAGTTGCAAAACATCTAATTTCCATGGTCGTGTGGTAGTCAGTATTGTACAATTTTCTCGGTCATTCCTGTGGGGGATCGATCGTGGCATTCTGGAACATTTCCTCTTGGGGTGGGTCCATTCATCCAGTCCGTCAAGTATAACTAGATATTTCTCATTTTTCAAAATCTTTAACAGGAAATCTTTTGAGGGTTCATTTTGAAAACCTAAATTTGAAACAATCGTTTCAAATATGAGATCATCTATAGAACATAAATTATACGAGTCTCTCAATAAGACTAGGAATAAGAAATCAAATTCTTGCATGCAGTCTAAATCATCCTCAGCAAAATATTGTGTCATGCCTTCATCTGGACAATTGAATTGACACCATAAGTTTGCCAGATACTTTGAAAATGCTGTTTTTCCTACTCCAGCATCAGCGGGTACATATATTTCTCGGTTACCTTTATGTACAGATTTGAACATCTCCGATAGCGATTTGACTGGTATTTTATCATCATTTCCCGTCTGTGTTGAGGCAATTGAGTTCAACTCTGGTCTGATATAGAAAGGAAGCAAGGGTGTGTCTTTCTCTTCAAAAAGTGGCGACAGAAAAATTTTACTGTGTCTCTTTTTGTAGAATACTATCAAACAATCTTTAAGTTCTGCAGAAATGAAATAGAAGAGTATGTATATACATCATTTATGTGAACTAAATATAAAAAAGATGATGTAAGAAAACTGTATATCTTATCATCTTATCAAATACAAATCCTTTTTATAAGAATGTAATTTGTGTATCACGAATATTCTAATTTTATATTCTTGCAAGATGTACACAAGAATATTCAATGTTAAAACACTTTATCTGTTACAGTATCAAATCATCATACATGCACTTGTTTCAAAATAAGGTGTGTTTACCCTTATGAAAAATTGGTAGTTATACTTAAGTTTCAAACTTCAGTGATAGATAAATGCTTTGTGAAATTATTTCCACCGTGAAACTCCTATACGAAAAAAAACTTATGATATTCAATCATGATCATTTTTTTCGCCAACAAACCAATCAAATTTTGTCCACGGATGTTAACTCGCGTGACCCTTTTAACACCATTAAAAAGTATAGCTGGATGCGTAAATTTTTACACTCGTTTGAAAATGATTATTTTATATAACTTTGATTTCACTTTGCATATTTTATATCTTCTTTCTGCAACACGAAGAGACCTGAATGTGTATGCTGTAAAGATCAGAAAAAGAAACCAAATACATATCAACTAATTTTAAGATGCAAATGCAATCATCTTGTTTATAATATAAATTCAGTTTCTATTTAAGGAGAAACATGCATGAATATATGCTTGTATCATAGTTTGGAGACCTTTCTGTTGAAAATGTGTCAGGTTTAAATCGTATACATATACATGCACAGTGCGTTAACTGGAGTGCGGGTATTAGTTACCCGCACTCCAGAGCATGTCCATTGATTGGCTCATTTTTGCTGGGGTTTACATATTGTGACGGCAGAGAAAGGGAAAGCGACAAAATTATCATATTTAGATGTTCGTTCATTGGTTCATTTTTGCCGGGGTTTCATATTGTGACAACAGGGAACGTGTTTTTATGTTTGACTATGATACAAAAGAGAAAGAACACCAAAACACTCGGTAATCTGATTAATACTCGGGGGCTACGCCCCCTCGTACAAATCAGATAACCTCGTGTTTCGGTGCTCTTTCTATTACTTCTAATACAAACATCAACTATTGTTATAATTTTTTTCTTATACAATTGCGACAAAAGAGGTTGTTTTGTTCCTCAACTAATTGACCGAGAAAACTTGTGATGGATTGCGATGCGATGGGTATTAATAATATCAAACAATCGTTTACTTAAACAATGGGATTATTTTGACTTTCGTGACAGATCATTTGATTGAGTAATATGTTACTATTTTGGCATTATTTTTTGCATCGAAGAAACAGAAAACATGTTTTAGTCCAAAACTATCATTACTTGAAGGATATGTAATTCTTTTAAGATATGAATTGTTAAATTTTTGTAGTGTGATATCTTTCAAATAAATGTAAGTGTTATTTCAAAATCAGCTTATTTGATCTTTTTGTGATGTAATGCGGGTAATATCTATATTATTAAGGTCACTGAATTGATTCCAAAATGTAAAGCAGTGGTTATTGCCAATAAAAATTCCTTTGTTGTTTCTGTATTAGTTATAAAGAAACCTTTAATCATACTCAAATACGTTTATCATTTCATCTTAAAAACCGACATAAATGAACGTGAACATAGCTTTTGTATACATTTAAAGCGTTTCATTCTTTCATTTACATACTATTTAAAACAGACCAAAAGTGTCAATTACTTTATCAGTATTCCTGGATATAATTTACTTACTTTAAAATAGCTGGTTATATGTGTACATAAATAAAATAAAAAAAAAAATGTAGAAAATTATTTTATTTATATATTTGTATGCTCATCCAAGGAAACGGGACTTATCATTTTAAAGCCCTTATAAGAGGACAATCATGACTTAAAGGAGCTCACCTGGCTGAAAATTTTCCAAAATAAGTAGGCAATATTTTGATATTTAAAAGCTAATAAAAGCTACTGACCGGGTCTTAATAAATTTCATTCCGTGTTTTTCTTACACGAATTGCTTACATGTCAAAACATAAAGGTCATTTTAATAATTTCTATTAAATAATATTATGTTATATAACAAAAAACTTAAATTATCTTAGTCATAATTACATTCATTTAATTAAGGTCAATATCTATGTCCAATTACGACTGACCCCCCGCCCCCCCCCCTAGTTCCATTTCAGCCTTTATGGATATCCCGTTGACATCTACAAATTGCGCTTAACAACACACCACCTGCCCATCACCGCTGTGGGTTCGAATCCCGACACGGACTTTGGATTCGTTCATGTGAGGAAGCTATCTAGCTAGCAAGCTTATGCAACGTCGTTGATCTACTCAGGTAGAGTAATAATGCATGGAAGGGAACACAAGGTATTCCCCCACAAGTAAAACTATAACGTCGCCATATCACCTTTACATCACACATGTTGTGACATAAACTCAATCAATCAAACAAACAAACTAAACAACACTGTTAAAAAGTAAGTATTTTAAGCCTAATAACATCTTACAAAATGCAATGCATGAATATACTTCAAGTTATTGGAATAGCTTTTCGAGAAACATTAAATCTTGCACATTGACTTCAAGGGGGTTTACTTTCGGAACCACACATGCATTACCGGTACTGTACTTCCCACACACAATTTTACTACAGCTTGGACTAGTTTTGTAAGACTGTCAAAAGTAACACTTACAAGAAATTCGAATTGAATTCTGACAGAAAATTTCTTTTTCCTATCTCTCAATTATATCTGGCGTTAAACACAGCCAAGAATACAGGTTTTTATCTAACCCACGTTAAAAAACTTAACATGTAAACAAATATCAATTTAATGTTTGAAGTTGTTGACTACGATTGTTCCAATACATCGTGTAAAATCTACCTAAATATAGAGATATAAAAGTAAACAGTACATTATATTTATATAAAATGTTTACCGATTGGCAATTATCAGACATATTTGCAATCTTTATTTTATTAAAATAAACGTTATTTTCATTTTGATGTGAAAATAAAATACATTCGTTATACATTTTCAAAGATTACACTGTCTGTTTTTGTTTACATCTAAATTCACGTGGTAGAGCTACTTTTAATCCATTTAAAGTTCGAGGTTTACGAATAATAGCCCAAATGTTCCGATTGCACTGTTGCGCCAATACAAAGGTTTTTAAAACTTGTTTTCGTGCCACCCGAAATCTTAAAATAGAAAACTTATAATAGCAGGAAATTTACAATTGGTGTTCGAGGTCGCATCCGAAGTTTGACGGAAAGAGCATGGCACAGTGGGAAGACTGACGATCAATGTTAAATCATAAACAATCATACAAGGCGAACAAGTGTTACATTTATTCAGCTAAAGTGCCAATCCAAGATTATTAAGTGAGTGAACATGTAAATGTCAAAATATGACTTCATTTTGCCAGAATTCCTTTCAGTTTTATAATCTACTCCAAATGAACAATAAAAAACTGACATGGTCAAAGCGAATTTCTGTAAACATGATAACATAATTTACCTGTAAAGGTCAATTTATTAAAAGAGCGAGGGGAGGGGGGCAGTCTTTTATATTTTGTGCAGATTAATGTTTGTAACCGAAAAATGTTAGAAAAATCAACTATTACATCAGAAAATCTTTTGAAATTCATTGTGATATGGTTATAATTATAGGGAACGGTTATGGGACACCTACAGTTTATTTTGCGCGACGGCCATTTTGTATTATAGTTTGAATGCCATCACGTAATCTATTGTTGGTTTGGTTTTAAAGTATTTACGAAATCAAATAATATGCATTATATAATTAATCTTATTAGACGCGTTCTATAACAAAGGTTATTAGATTACTACAAAGGTGTATTGTTTGTCAAATTATTTATATAAGACGTATATAACACTGACAAAGAGGAATCATTAAGGAAGGTTCTATTGTTGATTACAATTTTATATAATGAAATGTGTTTGGATAAAAAATAGAATTTTTGCACTAGCAAATTTATAAAAATTGCAATCATTATGTAAAATTAGAATAAAATATAATGGTTATAATGATTTGAAGAATAAATATGGATAGGAGATTGGTAAAATTTGTAAATATATGAAATTGTGTTTGTTATAAAGAATGGAAGATATCCAAAAGTGGTTAAAATGATGATAATTGCGTTACATAGTACTGACAACGTGATATTTTAGCAAATATATAAACGTTATCATTATGTCAAATTTGAAGAATGCATTATGATTTTTGACCAAATTTTAAATGTTAAATGCTGTTTGTTATACAGAATGAAGATATCACCTTTTCAATCTAATTCTAGAAGAATTTAATGTTAGTGTAGATGAATGAGAAAGACTGTTATATAAATTAAAAAGGCCCATTTATAACATGAATGATGAATACAATTTCTAATCTAAGTAAAAATGTTGCGTTCATTAATTCAGTATTTATTCAGTTTTTCTAGTATTTTAAAGTCACATATCAAGTTTATTAAAATCAATTTTGGTTATGACATGATTAGAGATTTTTAGTAGATAAATTTATTAGTACCATGAATTCGATGTAACATAAAATTAATTTTTCTACAATAACAAATGAATAAAGAAAAGGGTAATATTCGGCTGTTTTTGTATTATAGTTCGGCAATGTAATATCCAAAAAAATATATTATCAATTTGTATGCATTGTATCATGAATCGTATAACACGGATATTATAACACTAGGGAGTGTGAAGAAAAAGAGAGTAATGCTCAGCAAAAGAGAATTGCTAATTGTTAGTAAATCCAGATTATAGTATTAAATGTGTATTATAACAAAAGAGATGTAATATTTTTAAATGGTGTATTGTAAACTAAGCCAGACTTTGGTTGCGTATATAAGAAAGAGTTTCGGTTGAATGAATGGATGAATGAATGATGAATGAATGAATGAATGAAGGGAAGAAGGAAAGGAAAGGAAGAGAAAGGAAGGAGGAAACAATGAAGGAATGAAT